AACTTTCATTTAGAATGGAAGGGCAGATAACGTGCTTCTCAGATAAGATCAAATTCAAGGAGTTCATCATCACCAAGCCCTTATTATATGAAATGCTAAAGGGACTTACCTAAGAAAAAGAAGATAAAAAAGATGAACAGTGAAAGGACAGCAAACTCACAGTTATTAACAACCGCACATAAAACAAAAGCAAACTGAGAGGACAGCTAGATCAGGAGCAGAACCATAGAAATGAAGATCACATGGAGGGTTAGCAACAGGGGAATGGGAGGAGAAGGGGGGAGAAGATACAGAAAATAAGTAGGATAGATGGTAGGTAGAAAATAGATGGGGGGAGGGCAAGAATAATAGGGGAATGTAGAATTTAAAGAAGTTGAGACACGTGGTCATAAACTAAAGGGGAGAATTGTGGGGGAGGGGTGTGCAGGGTGGAGGGGAATGAAGGGGGGAAACAGAACAACTGTCATGGCATAATCAATAAAATATATTAAAAAATAATAAAACCACTGTGACTAACAAGGTAGTTTCACAATACAAATGAAGGTGAACTATGGAGATTAGTAGCAAACTATGTTATGAGGTTTGACCATGAATTCAAGGTCTCATAAACACTAGCAGCACAGTGAAGATGCAGAATATCTCCATCACCTGAAACAGGCCCTCCCGCCCCTGTGCAGATTTATCCCCGTCCCCCGCTCCACCCTCACAGTCGTTCATCTCTTTTCTGACTCTATGGGTTTGTAACCACTGATTTTGATTTGCATTTCCCTAAGAACTAAAGATGTTATTTCATGTTTATTGACTGGCTGTTCAGCTGTCTTCTTTGTGAAAAGTGTTCTCAGATCTTCTGCATATTATTTGAAAAGTTAGAGTATGTTATTGAGTTGTAAGAGTTTTTTGTTTATTTTTTTAAATTCTGATAAATACAAGTCCTTTCTTTTTTTAAAAGATTTTATTTATTTATTTTTAGAGAGGAAGGGAAGGAGAGAAGGAGAGAAATATCAATGTATGGTTGCCTCTGATGAGTCCCCTTCAGGGAACTGGCCTGCAACCCAGGCATGTGCCCTGACTGGGAATCGAACAGCGATCGTGTGGTTCACAGGCCCACACTCAATCTACTGAGCTACACCAGCCAGGGCGATATACAAGTCCTTTCTGAGATATACATGTTACAAATATTTTCTACCATTTGATGATTTGACTTTATTTTCCTTTTATTTCTTTTTTTTTTAGAATTTTCATAAGAGCTTATTTGAGCCAAGTTGACCACATAAGCCAGGATTTCATTTTCTTTTTCTTTTTTCTTTTTTGGTCAATATTTATTATTTATTTTATTAGAAGGTAATTTTTTAAAAATATATTTTATCAATTATGCTATTACAGTTGTCCCATTTCCCCTCCTTCATTCCCCTCCACCATGCACACCCCCTCCCCTCACATTCCCCCCTTCAGTTCATGTCCATGTGTTATAAGTGCTTTAGCTTCTACATTTCCCACACTACTCTTGCTCTTCCCCTGTCTATTTTCTGCCTACCATCTATGCTACTTATTCTCTGTACCTTCTCCCCCTTTTTCCTTCTCCCACTCCCCTGTTGCTACCCCTCCATGTGACCTCCATTTCTGTGGTTCTGTTCCTGTTCTAGTTGTTTCCTTAGTTTATTTTTATTTTAGGTGTGGTTGCTTTTTTAAAAATATTTATTTATTTATCTTTAGAAGGGAAGGGAAGGAGAGAGGGAGAGAAACATCAATGTATGGTTGCCTCTCATGTGTCCCCTGCTGGGAACTGACCTGCAACCCAGGCATGTGCCCTGACTGGGAATTAAACCACGATCCTCTGGTCTGCAGGCCCCTGCTCAATCCACTGAGCTACACCAGCCAGGGCTAAGTGTGGTTGTTAATAACTGTGAGTTTGCTGTCATTTTACTATTCATGTTTTTTATCTTCTTTTTCTTAGATAAGTCCCTTTAACATTTCATATAATAAGAGCTTTGTGATGATGAACTTCTTGAACTTGACCTTATCTGAGAAGCACTTTATCTGCCCTTCCATTCTAAATGAAAGCTTTGCTGGATAGAGCAATCTTGGATGTAAGTCCTGTCTTTCATGACTTGGAGCATTTCTTTCCAGCCCTTTCTTGCCTGTAAGGTCTCTCTTGAAAAATCTGCTGACAGTCTGATGGGAACTCCTTTGTAGGTGACTGTCCCCTTAGCTCTTGCTGCTTCTAGGATTCTCTCCTTCATTTTTATCTTGGCTGATGTCATTATGATGTGCCTTGGTGTGTTCCTGCTTGGGTCCACCTTCTTTGGGACTCTGTGAGCTTCCTGGATTTCCTGGAAGTCTATTTCCTTTGCCAGATTGGGGAAGTTCTACTTTATTATTTGTTCAAATAAGTTTTCCACTTGTCCCTGTTCTTCTTCCTCTTCTGGTACCCCTATAATTCAGATGTTGGAATGTTTCAAGATGTCCTGGAGTTTCCTAAGCCTCTCATTTTTTTTTTTTTGAATTCTTGTTTCTTCATTCTTTTGTTTGGTCATTTTTTTTCTTCCTTCTGGTCCACTTCATTGATTTGAGTCCCAGTTTCCTTCCCATCACTATTGGTTCCCTGTGCACTTCCCTTCATTTCACTTAGTTTAGCCTTCATTTGTTCATCTCTTTTGTGACTAAAATGAACCAGTTCTGTGAGCATCCTGATCACCAGTGTTTTGAACTGTGCATCTGATAGGTTGGCTATCTCTTGGTCACTTAGAAGTATTGGCTCTGGGGCTTTGAGCTGTTCTGCTTCAACCATAATGTTTTGGTCTGTTCGCCCCTGTTATGTATGAGGGGCGGAGCCTTAGGTGTTCACTAGGGCAGGGCAACCCAAGTTGCTGGGTTGTGATGCTGTATGTGGGGGCAGACGCCAAGAGGAAACTGTGGTGCTTTGTTCCCCTCTCTGTTGTGCCTCAGTTCCTTCCACTACTCCCAAGTGAACTGGGCCTTTCTGGTGCTGGTTCCTGGGTCGGTGGGCACGTGTGCATTCTAGGACCCTGTTGGTCTCTCCAACAAACTCTCCTGTGAGGCTGTGAGCCTCTCCCTGTGGCTCAACCCCCACAGGTATTTTCAATCAGTGTTTTGAGGCTTTATTTCCCAGCACTAGGACCCTGAGTTGTGCAATCTGTCTTGCTCCCCAGTTGTCTGCACAGGAATGTGGGACCACTGCCCAGTCAGCCAGCCACTTTGTGCACAGTGTCCCACTTCTCCATCGCTGCCTCACTGGGTCTGCCCGTTGCCATCCCACACCCGGGGTCTGCCAGCCACTGCCTGGGCGCTCAGGGTCTGCCCCATGGTGCCTTGTGCACCCGGGGTGTCACCACTCCCTGTGCCTCGACCCCTCTCCTGTCGGCTGCCCAACTCCACCCCACCTACTGGTCTGGATGAATGTGTCTATTTTAACTCCTTGGTTGTCAGGACTTCCATACAGTTCAATTTTCTCTCAGTTTTGGTTGTTATTTTGTTTCTAAATTGTTGTCTTTATTTTGGTTGTTTGAGGAGGCACAATGTGTCTACCTACGCCTCCATGTTGGCTGGAAGTCTCAGAAGGTAATTTTTCATAGTTTATTAATATACCATATAAAACATTTCAGAAAAATGAGAAGTTAATTATTTACAAATATTATCATTCTTCCAGGAATTATGGGATTACCTTCATCAGTTTCAGTAAATATCAGAGTTAATTAAGCTTGGGAAAAAATGGTGCTGATTTATTTGTGAAGTTTTCTTCCCTTTAACCTAATGTATCTCTCTCTACATATCAACACGTCTCCAGAGAGACGGTATGTTTTAGTGGTTTCCGTCTTGGGCTCGGGAGTTGAGCTTGGGTTTGAATATTAGATCCTCCATTTATAAGGTGTTGGACTTTAGACATGTTAGTTAACATCTCAGGTCACAGTTTCTTTATCTTGTGGGAGCTCCAGTAAGCATTTAAAGGGCTTCTAAGTTATATTTCACGTGGCATTTTTGTAACAAGAGGGTTTTCAAGTTGTCTATTCCATAAAATTGCCATAATCAAATTCTCTCTGGCTCTGTTTGGTCTGTTCATTATTGCCTGTAACTTTTTAGTCTGATGAAATTAACCTTCCCAGGAACAAATCTTTCTGAATTTTGACTGATGCTCTTAAGGTGTTCTCCAAGATCAGCCTAGAACCTGTAACCTCCTGTAAGCACATACTGGATCATAATGTCACAGTATCTGATATCTTTTATAAAATCCTTAGCCAGCCGCTTAGTTCTGTCACAGTGATGCCATGAGACATGAGGACATACTCCATATCTCCAGAATAGTGCTGTGGGTACTTGAATGTATTCAAGTCATTCCCTGGCCAGTTGTTGTCCATAATCTCTACACCTCACCCATAATCTGTCACCTCTGCTCCCGGCCATGTTTTCCCCAGGGAAAGTAGAAAGGCTCATTTTCTTAGTCTTTTTTAGAGAGCAAAGATTTATAATTTTAAAGCCTGGTTTATCATATGGTTTAAAGCCTGGTAAAGCCTGGTTTTCCTTTATGTTTTTGCTTTGTGTCTTATCTAAGAAATCTTTGCTTATTCCAACGTTGCAAAGGTTTTCTTCTGTGTTCTCTTCAGGTTTTATAGTTGCAGCATTTGCATTATGTCTGTGATGCACTTTGATTTTTGTTTTGGTGAGAGACGGGGCTGATACATAATTTCCCATGCATGCGCACCCAGTTGTTCCAGCAGCAGTTGTTGAACAGACCTGCCCTTCCCTGTTGCATTGCCTTGGCATAACACAGTGTTACTTTAGGGGTTGCTTTCTTGAAGATGAAAGTTAACCCTTCGACTTTCACACCTTTCTGAAGTAGTTGGGATTCACCTGTGGGCAGCCTGATTCTGGATCCCACTGTAAGGATTTTGCTGAGGGGTTGTAGGGGCAGATGGCTTCAGTTCCTTTGGCCTGGTTTCCTACATACTAATGGCATTTCTGTTTCCCTGTTCTGCTCTTACCAGAAGCTGGCAAAGATTCCTGCCAATGGGCTTGGTGTGAACGTGACCAGCCAGGACGGCTCCTCCCCACTGCATGTTGCTGCCCTATATGGTTGGGCGGAACTCATCCCCCTCCTTTTGAAGCATGGTGCCAGTGTGGGTGCCAGAAACACAAACCAGGCTGTCCCACTCCACCTGGCCTGCCAGCAAGGCCACTTTCAGGTATGGGTTGTCTCTTGGGCAAAGTGTTAGGATGCTTGCTTTCAGTTAGAACCTCACTTTGGAATGCAACAGAGGGGCAGGAATTTGACAGCTGGCCCAGAGCACTGGCCCCTTTCCTTCCTCTGAGCCCCAAGATTCAGAGGTGCATGTGGATGGACCACTCAACCACAGAGCACAGAATTCTAATGCTTCTGGGGGGCGGAGCCAACCCCCTCCCACTGCTAGTCACATGAGGGTGGCACAGAGGCTACCATTCTGATTCTAGCCCCAGAGGGTTCTCTCTGGTAATTGGGGGTTGGTCACCGGGGGCTCTGGCTACCTGTCAGCACCTGATTGTTTCTGCAGCGCTTGGTCTGTGCCAAACAGGTCAGCATTTCATAGAGCACAGCCCTATAGAGGGCGCCAAGAGAGAACTGTGGCTGAGTGCCCTTAGCAAAGTCCCCTTTTCCATTTTGAAAGTTATCTACATTCTACATTTTTTCATTTTCCCTTAGTAGTTCTAATGTAAATAAGCTTTCTGAAGTCAGGAACCATATTTCAGGGCTTCCATTTCTCTCCTAACACCTCACATAGCGCTTCAAGCATCAGTTTCCTCATCTGTAAAACTCGAGTTATAATTTCAGCTCTCTGTGGACTAGATCAAATGATTAAATGAAAATAAAAAAGAAAGAGACTTCCGCCAAGATGTAGGCATAGGTGGACACGCCCTGCTTCCTCACACAACCAAGTTTAGAGACAACTAAATATTAGCAACAGAAAACACAGCCAAAACACAGAAAATTGAACTTTTCGGAAGTCTGATAACAACAAATTCTTCAGCCTGACCGGTAAAAGGGGTGAAACCAGCAGCTGGAGGAGCGGGATTGCACAGGAAAACTCCGTCAGATGGACTCAGGTGCGCGGAATCCAGGTGCAAGGTTGGACCTGGTGGGCAACTCAGCTAGCGACTGTGGGGAAACAGCGAGGGAGCAGGGCTGCGGGTTGACTGTGGTCTCGCATCCATGTGTGGATAGACAAGCGAGGGAGTGGGCGATTGGACGGGACCCAGCAGGCCCCATTGGCCAACAGCAGCAGAGGGCACTGCCATTTCCCCGCTCTGACCCCACCTCCACATACAGCGTCATAACCCAGCGACCTAAGTGGCCCTGTTCCGGTGAACCACCTGAGGCTCTGCTCCTACCCAGCGGCAAGAAACAGTAGACGGGGCTGCCATTTCCCCGCTCTGACCACGCCCCCACATACAGTGTCACAACCCAGCGACCTGAGAGTCCAAGGCTCCCCTCCTCGTACTTAACGGGTGTGAACAGAACAAAAATGGCTCAAGAAGATCTCAAAGCCCCAGAGCCTATAAATCTAAGCGATGAAGAAATAGCAAAACTCTCAGACGCACAGTTTAAAACACTGGTGATCAGGATCCTCACAGAACTGGTTGATTATACCCACAAATTAGATATACATATGAAGGTGAAACTAATTGAAATGAATGGAATTACACAGGAAATCAACAGCGATGAAAAGGAAAATGGGTCTCAAATCAATGGAGTGGACCAGAAGAAAGCAAATACTGGTCAAACAAAAAAGAGTGAAGAAGCAATTCAAAAAAATGGGGAGAGTCTTAGGAACCTCCAGGACATCTTTAAACGCTCCAACATCCGAATTATAGGGGTACCAGAAGGGGAAAAGGAACAGCCACCAGTGGAAAACTTATTTGAACAAATAATAAAGGAGAATTTCCCCAATCTGGCAAAGGAAATAGACTTCCAGGAAATCCAGGAAGCTCAGAGAGTCCCAAAGAAGGTGGACCCAAGCAGGAACACACCAAGGCACATCATCATTACATTACCCAAGATAAAAATGAAGGAGAGAATCCTAGAAGCAGCAAGAGCTAAGGGGACAGTCACCTACAAAGGAGTTCCCATCAGACTGTCAGCAGATTTCTCAAAAGAGACCTTACAGGCAAGAAGGGGCTGGAAAGAGGTATTCCAAGTCATGAAATCTAAAGACCTACAACCAAGATTGCTCTATCCAGCAAAAGTTTCATTTAGAATGGAAGTGCAGATAAAGTGCTTCTCAGATAAGATCAAATTCAAGGAGTTCATCATCACCAAGCCCTTATTATATGAAATGTTAAAGGGACTTATCTAAGAAAAAGAAGATAAAAAACATGAACACTAAAAGGACAGCAAACTCACAGTTATTAACAATCACACCTAAAACAAAAGCAAACTACGAGGACAGCTAGATCAGGAGTGCAAACATAGAAAGGAAGATCTCAAGGAGGGTTAGCAACAGGAGAGTGGGAGGAGGAGAACGGGGGAGAAGGTACAGAAAATAAGTAGCATAGACAGTAGGTAGAAAATAGATGGGGGGTGAGAATAGTATGGGAAATATAGAATCTAAAGAACTTGAGACACATGGTCATAAACTAAAGGGGGGTAATGGTGGGGATGGGGGGTAGGGTGGAGGGGGATGAAGAGGGAATAGAACAACTGTAATGGCATAATCAATACAAAATTTAAAAAATAAAAAATAAAAAAAAGAAATAGAATCTTTAAAAAGAAAAAAAAAAGAGTGCCTGTCACACAGTCCACCTTCAGCAAATAACTGCCCACCCTGCAGGCCCTTTCAGCTAGTCTGCTTTCTCCTGAGATCAGACCTGTGTCTAAAGAGCCTTCTAGATAAACTTAGAGAAAAGTTCAAAGGATACCAAGTTAGAGAATATCTCCCTGCCAATTTTTAAATTATTTATTTATTTATTTTTAGAGGGGAAGGCAGAAAGAGAGGGTGAGAAACATCAATGCATGGTTGCCTCTTGTGTGCACCCTGCTGGGGACCTGGTGCACAACCCATGCATGTGCCCTGACTGGGAATCAAACAGGTGACCCTTTGGCTCACAGGCTGGTGCTCGATCCACTGAGCCACACCAGCCAGGGCTCTCCCTGCCAGTTTTAATTAAGGTTGAAAATTATCCTTTTCTGTTCTAGGTGGTGAAGTATCTATTAGATTACAACTCAAAACCCGATGAACAGGATGTAAGTGGAAACACTCCCCTCCTTTATGCCTGTTCCAGTGGCCACCATGAAGTCGCAGCACTGTTGCTACAGGTAAGGGCCCCCACAGCCCAGAAGCTGTTGACACTGGTCAGTGATGGACATCTCATCAGGTGGCAAGCCCCTGGCAAAGCGCTGGAGATGGCTGAGGCCTGCCCATGGCTTTGTGCTGCCCGTGGGGAGAGGAGTTCTGCATGAGATTTCCATGTGGTGATTCTCAAGTGGGAAATCGGTCTCAGGGTCTGTGCTGCCCCTGGGAGGCCAAGTGAAGGGCCAACACTGCTTTTGCAAAGGTTTGCTTCTTGCCTCATTTACCTGCAGGGTAGATTGAATTGTACAAGGCTAAGTTGAACTCTTACCTTTAATGTCGGCTGAATATCCTTTGTCACTTTTTTTGTCTTTTGATAAAGGTTATATGTGTTGATTATAGAACAAAGAATTAAAAGCATGGGAAAACCCAACTAGCCTATCATAACCCTATTACTCAGAGGCAACTCATGTCTGTGGACTGTAGAAATGTGCATAATTTAGATCAATATTGGCTTCTCTCTGCCTATTTTCACTTAAGGTACAAAGTTTTTTATTAAAACCTCAATTTTTATGGAGGAAATTTAATTTTCACTTTATTTTGTTAACTTTTGGGGGGGATTTTTAAAAATTATTATTCTATTACAGTTGTCCCAATTTTTCCCCTTTTGCCCTCCTCTGCTCAGCCCGCTCCCCACTCCCACAGTCCATCCCCACACCGTCATCCATGTCTATGTCCATGGGTCAGTTATACATGTTCTTTAACTAGTCCCTTCCCCTTCCTTCCACCATTATCCCCCTCCTGCCTCCCATCTGGCCACTGTTGGTCTGTCCGTGTTTTCCATTGTCTCTTTTTTGTTTGTTTATTCGTTACATATATTTTATTCATTATGCTATTACAGTGGTCCCATTTTCTTGTCCCCTTTATTCCCCTCCACCCTGCACACCCCCTCCCTCCAGCATTTCTTTCCCTTAATTCATGTCCATGGGTCATACAGATAAGTTCTTTGGCCTCTCCATTTCCAATACTATTCTTAACCTCCCCTGGTCTATTTTGTACCTACCATTTATGCTTCTTATTCCCTGTACCTTTTCTCCCATTCTCCCTCCTCCCCCTCCCCACTGATAATCCTCCATATGATCTCCATTTCTGTGATTCTGCTTAGTTTGTTTGTTTTGGTTTTGTTTTGTTTTTAGGTTCAGTTGTTGATAGTTATTTATTGTCATTTTACTGTTCTTATTTTTTATCTTTTTCTTAGATAAATCCCTTTAACATTTCATATAATAAGGACTTAGTGATGAACTCCTTTAACTTGACCTTATCTGAGAAGTATTTTATCTGCCCTTCCATTCTAAATAATAGCTTTGCTGGATAGAGCAATCTTGGATGTAGGTCCTTGCCTTTCATGACTTTGAATACTTCTTTCTAGCCCCTTCTTGCCTATAAGGTTTCTTTTGCAAAATCAGAGAAAGGTTTCTTTTGATAGTCTGATAGGAACTCCTTTGGAGGTAACTGTCTCCTTTTCTCTTGCAGATTCTCTCCTTATCTTTAATCTTGGGTTATTCGATTATGATGTGCCTTGGCATGAGCTTCCTTAGGTCCAACTTCTCTGGGACTCTCTGAGCTTCCCGGACTTCCTGGAAGTCTATATCCTTTGCCAGTTCTGGAAAGCTCTCTTTACTTTTTCAAATAGGTTTTCAATTTCTTGTTCTTCTTCTTCTCCTTCTGGCACCCCATGATTCAGATGTTGGAATGTTGAAAGTTTTCCCAGAGGTTCTTAAGCCTCTCTTCATTTTTTTTGAGTTCTTGTTTCTTCATTCTTTTCTGGTTAAATGTTTATTTTTTCCTCCTCGTCCACATTGTTGATTTGAGTCCTGGTTTCCTTCCTATCACTGTTAGTTCCCTGTACCTTTTCCTTTATTTCACTTTGCATAGCCTTCACTTTTTCCTCTATTTTGCAACCATACTCAGTCATTTGTGTGAGTACCCTCATTACCAGTGTTTTGAACTCTGCATCTGATAGGTTGGCTGTCTCTTCACCCCTTAGTTCTATTTATGTAGGTTTGGTCTGCTCTTTCATTTGGGCCATGTTTTTGTTTGTTTTTTTGTTTGTTTGTTTGTTTGTCTCCTCATGCCTGTTATGTTGTAAGGGGGGTAGCCATAGGTATTCCCCAGGGCGGAGCAACCCACATGGCTGCATTGTGGTGTGATGTGTGGAGAAGGGATCAGAGAGGGAACAATATGGTTTGCTTGCCTCTTGTTTGGCTTTGAGTCACATCCCCCCGCTACCCACAAGCAAATTGGGCCCTTCTGGTGCTGATTGCTGGTTGAATGGGTTTGTGTACCTTCTAGAACCCTATGAGTCTCTGCAGTGAACTTTCCTGAGAGATTGGGAGTTTCTCCCACCACCTCAACCCCCACAGGTTTACAGCCAGAGTTTTTGAGGTTTTATTTCCCTGTGCTGGAACCCTGGGTTGCATTGTTTGTCTTGCTCCCCAGTTGTTCCTCCCAATTTATCTGCTTGCAAATGAGGGACTACCTGATCTGCCAGCTGCCACCTCACCCCACCCTGGTCTGCCAGCCACAGCCTTGCCAGGCATCCTCTCCATTCCAGCTATTTGTTCTCCACCCCTCCTACCTGTCTAGATGAATGTTTCTTCTTTCACTCCTTGGACTTCCATATAGTTTGATTTTTGGCACTTCTGGCTATTGCTTTTAAATTTGTTTTTGTCCTTCTTTTGGTTGTGCAAAGAGGCAAAGTGTATCTACCTACACCTCCATTTTGGTCAGAAGTCTCCATGTCTCTTGTTCTGTTGTGCTCCGTTTATTTTGTTCATTAGATTCCTCTTATAGGGGAGATCATATGGTATTTGTCTTTCATTGACTGGCTTATTTCACTTGGCATAATATTCTCCAGTTCCATCCATGCTGTTGCAAAAGGTGGGAGTTCTTTCTTTCTGCTGCATAGTGGTATTACATTGTGTTAACGTACCACAGTTTTTTCATCCACTCATCTACCGATGGGCACTTAGGCTGTTTCCAGCACTTGGCTATTGTATATAGCACTGCTATAAACATAGCGATACCTACATTCTTCTAAATTGGTGTTTTGGGATTCTTAGGTTATATTCCAAGCAGTGGAATTGCTGGGTCACAAGGCAGTTCCATATTTAGTTTTTTGAGGAAATTCTGTATTGTTTTCCACAGTGGCTGCACCAGTCTACGTTCCCACCAACAGTGCACTAGTGTTCCCTTTTCTCCACATCCTCACCAGCAATTGTTGTTTGTTGATTTATTAATAACAGCCATTCTGACAGATGTGAGGTAATATCTCATTGGGGTTTTAATTTGCATCTTTCTGATGGCTAGCAATGCTGAACATCCTTTCATATGTCCTTCTGTATGTCCTCCTTGGAGAAGTGTCTGTTCAGGTCCTTTGCCCTTTTTAAATTTGGATTGTTTGTCTTCTTGGCATTGAATCATGTGAGTTCTTTATATACAGGGCCCAACAGAAGTAATGCCTGCTTGAATGTGGTTGGTAGGGTAGGAATATGGGTGTAATGACGTTAGTTTTAATTTGAACATTTTACCTAAAATGTCATATGGTGTGCTTGAGTGTAATATTGTTATGTTACAGAATTACATGCTTATGACTTTGTAATAAAAGATTTTGTAATAAACAGGGGACATTATTTGTGCCAGACCCTATATATTGGAGATTAAACCTTTGTCCGAGGTATCATTGACAAATAAGCTTCCCCATACAGTCAGTTCCCTTTTAATTTTGTGATGGTTTCTTTAGCCCTACAGAAGCTTTGTAATTTGATGAAGTGCAATTTGTTTGTTTTTTCCTTTATTTCCCTTGCCATAGGAGATATATCAGCAAAAATATTGCTACGTGGGATATCTGAAATGTTACTGCCTATGTTTTCTGCTAGGACTTCTATGGTATCACGACTTACACTTAAGTCCTTTATCCATTTTGAGTTTCTCCTAGTGCACAGTGTAAGTTGGTGGTCTGGTTTCATTTTCTTGAATGTACCAGTTCAGTTCCGCAACACCATTTATTAAAGAGACCATCTTTATTCCATTGTATACTCATGCCCCCTTTGTCAAATATTAATTGACCAGAAAGACATGGGTTTATTTCTGGGCCCTCTATTCTGTTCCATTGATCTATGTGTTTGTTCTTATGCCAGTACCAGACTGTGTTGATTGCAGTGGCCTTGTAATGCAGTTTAATATTGTGATCTCTCCAGGTATTGTGATCCCTCCAACCCTGTTCTTTCTCAAGATTGCTGAGGCTTTTTGGGGTCTTTTTTGTTTCCATATAAGTTTTTGGAGTATTTGTTCTAGACCAGTGAAATAATGACATTGATATTTTAATAGGGATTGTGTTGAATCTATAGATCGCTTTGGGTAGTATGGATATTAAAAACCTCAATTTTTAATTGTTGCATAACCAAAGATGTACAATATAGTGTTTATTTAACTGTTCCTGCTCTATACATTTACATGACTTCTATTTTTTTCTGCCATAATTATAAATGTGGCGATGAATATCTCTGTACATAAGTCTTTCCCCCAATATTACTTTAATGCCAACATTTTAAGACAAATTTCAGATATACAGAAAAGTTGAAGGAATTTTATAGTGAATACCCATCTAGATTCTGCATTAATGGCCTTTTTAGCATTACTTTTGATTACATTGTCTCTTTCTAGCATGGGGCCTCCATTAACATCGCTAACAACAAGGGCAACACAGCACTGCACGAGGCTGTGATAGAAAAACACATCTTTGTTGTGGAGCTTCTGCTTCTTCACGGGGCATCAGTTCAGCTCTTGAACAAGAGGCAGTGCACAGCTATAGATTGTGCTGAGCAGGTAAGTGTGGGAGGGCATGCCAAGCTCTCTCACAGCTCACTTCGGATAACACTTGTGTTTAAGCCAGATCTGAAATAGCAACAGCCAGACTATTGAATTGCTGTGCCTGCCGTCTGCTAGTGTGGCTGAACACCTTGTCCTTGGTCACCTGGTCAGATATGGACTGCTCAGGAGCCAGGAGTCAGTCCTTTGGGGGCAGTTTTCAAAGACCCGAGGAGAGGCACTGGCCACCAGTTGCAGGTTTGAGGTCCTAGTCCGGCCATCACTCGGGTCCTCATAGGAAGTAGCATGCTGAGACAGTGCCCTGCTTTCACATCCCTGCACTGGGAATACATCTATGGTCTGAGCAGCGCAGTAGAGAAAGTTTATTCTAAACCCCCCTGGTTTTAAGCCCCCCTGGGTTTTGCATGGAGAATTGTGATGACTAGTGCACACTCTCCCATGCATGCTTGGAGGCATGGTGAGAAAAGAGTCTTTTTCTCCTGGGGGGAAGGCAGCTCTTTACTGTTCCTGTTTTCATACTGAATCTTTATCTAGTTTTCTACTCAAGGTAGACAACTAGTGAGCTGCTAAATGATAGTAGTGGCATGTTAAAGTTACCATAAAGCCAACCTACTCATAGGCTTATTGTATTAATTTTTAAGACATTTCTTAACAGTATTCAGATATTTTAAATTTTCAATTTAACACTTTCTCAAACAATGATATTGCTGAATGTTTTTATTGAGTACTTACTATGTGCTGGGTCCTTGATAACCTCAAAGTAACTCTGAAATTACAGATCCTATTACTGTCAACCTAATTGCACAGAGCAGTGAAATACCTGGGCCTGAGTACCTAGCAGAGGGCAGGGTCAGGCTCCAAATGCAGGGCTGCTCTTGACCAGTAGGCTTTTTGGCCTCAAAGTTTTATCTGAAGTTGCTTCTTAGCCCTTCTGTCCAGCTACACTAATATTGACACTTAAATCAAAACAAGGCAACTATCTGCTGAGAAAGAATAAAAAATATTACTGTTAACTTTTCCCTTTCAAATTGTAGAATTCAAAAATAATGGAATTACTTCAGGTAGTACCAAGCTGTGTGGCCACATTAGATGATGTTGGTGAAACAGACCACAAGGAATACGTTACTGTTAAGATCAGGAAAAAATGTAAGAACTCATATTCTCTATGTAATTGTCAACTTGGGTTTATTTGGAAGTTCACAAGTTGTTGCTGGTTTTCATTTAATTGTGAATGTAAAATGTGATTAGTCATGACTAGGGGTGGGATGAGGCACCAAAGAAATGTAAATTACATCCTAATTTATCAGGTGTTTTGATACTGGAATTCTGGTTGGTTGTGATGACATCTCTCAGCATCACCTTCAAGGTAAAATTACCTCCACTCACCCACTGGAGAGGAGGAACAGCCTCTGGTAGTTCTCTTCTGCCTCATGTTCCAAAGCCAGCCCCTTTTCTAAGTGTTTTTGGAACATCAGGGTAAATGCTACCTTTAAACAATTTTTTTTGGTTGATGTGGATTAGAACAGTATTTGCCAAACAGGTAGGCCTCAGTATTTTCTTTGTAAGACGTTATAGTTTAGATGGGGCCCTTGTTTTGGTGTGTGTGCATGTGTTTTTGTTGTTGTTGTTGTAGTTTTTAGTTTTAGAGAGAGGGGAAAGGAAGGAGAAAGAGAGGGAGAGAAACAGATCAGTTGCCTCTTGCACGCACACCTCCAGCTGGGAATCTGGCCCGAATCCGAGGTCAGCTACCTTTCAGTCTTCAGGCTAGAGCTCCATACACTGGGCCACACCAGCCAGGGCTTGTTTTGTTTTTTAAATAACAATATGAGTCTGCACTGCAATAATGTAAATGAACCCATGCACATATGTGGATAATCCTTAGGCTATCTCACTGTCATTGGCTGGGAATATCAGTGTATTAAGGATTTTTCTTTGTTTCATGGGAGTTCACACAGTAATATATAAATGTTTCTTTAAACAAATGTAGTACTGTATTTTCAAAATTTTGCCGAAGTAAGAAAATTGAAAAGTTGTATCTATGCCATAATTTTAAAACAATTCTTAAACTATTTTGGAAGTTTTCAGATGTTTATCCTTTTCTCCGCAGGGAACTCAAAAATGTATAATCGACAAGATGAACCTTTTACAAGACAGTTTTACTTTGTCCACTCAGTTGGTCAGTTTAAGTGAGTATAAAATTTGAGTTGATTCTATGCTTTTGGCCCTACCTTTACTGAAAACAAAAGCAGAGTATATGCAGCTTGAATGGTTTGTAGATAAATCTACTCTTATCAAATGCTGCTGCCTGTGGCCAACTAGTGTTTTACATTGCTATCCCAAACACTAAATTAATTTGTTTTGGGTTTCAGGGGAAGGACTTCAAGGGAGATTATGGCAAGAGATAAAAGTGTCCCTAATTTTACTGAAGATTCTTTGCATGAGGTGAGTTATTAAACACTGGATTATAATCATATTTTTTAAAGCTTGGCTTTTTAAAAACTAACCCAAAGTAAACACATTTCTCATTGCATTATTCCCTTCACTGTAAGAGTTAATAACAAAACAAGATCTTTGGTGGGATGGTCAAGAGTGTAGACTTCATTTATCATTATACAGGGTACAATACAAATGATGCCCCCTTTTATTATAAAATCTATTATTACAAAATCATAAGGATGTAATTCTGTAACATAATAGCACACTCAGGCACACCATATGATATTTTAGGTGAAACGTTCAAATTAAAACTATAAATTATTACGCCCATATTCTTACCTTACCAACCACACTCAAGCAGGCATTACTTCTGGTGGACCCTGTATTTAACACACATTTCAGAGCTAAGAAAGGAAAGTGAGGAAAAAGTGGAAAATAGTTACATGCATAGAAAGACACTGCAGTTTGTGGTGTGCATACATGGTGAAATATCTCAAATTTCACTAAGCAAATTAGCTAATTTGTTCATCAGTAATGTAAAGAAGACAAGTTTGTATATAAATGGGTAAAAAAATCTCTAAATATAGTATGCAGCTGATCACATAGACAGTTCTGTATGTAGCCATCTTCCTATAGTGCTATTTAATCAGTCAGTTATAAAAAGAGGCCTACTTTACATTCTGTGGTGCTGTTAGGTGAGTTTTCTCAAAAACATGACTTTTCACCCTGGCTGGTGTATCTTTGTGGACTAAGCACCAGCCTGTGAACCAAAAGGTTGCCAGTTTGATCCCAAGTCAGGGCATATGGCTGGGTTGCGGGCCAGGTCCCCAGCTGGAGGTGTGTGAGAGGCAACCAATTGATGTATCTTTCACACATTAATGTTTCTCTCCCTCTTTCTCCCTCCCCTCCCTTTTCTTTAAAAAAGTAAATATTTTTAAAAACACATGATTTTTCCCTTGCTACTTGCCGATATAATGCATGACTATTTGATAAAAATTTGAACTTATAGCATACATGGCATAGGTTTGTTGGAATAAGGATATAAATGTTCATAATCATCATTTTAGAAAATTAAAGTGATTTTGTTAACATGACTCCTTTTAAGTTCATATTTAATCTTTCATAGCTTTGCTAATAGCTTTCCCACCTGCTGCTGGGTGGGAAACCGACAAACTGTGAAGTCTGTGTGGTTTCAATCAAGTGCTAGCTCTTCTCTTGCTAGCTGTGGGACTTTAGGCAGATTGCTTAACTTTGCTCATCCTGTTTCCTCAGCTGTAGAATGGGGATAACCAGGTACACACTTGCTAGAATTGTAAAGATTAAATGTGAAAACACATGTATGCTGTGTCTGACACATGTAGCGCATACATGTTATACTATCCCCACCGGGATGCTCAAGTTGAAATTATGTCTGGAAAGTACTGAGCACAGTGGATGGCACACCAGCACTCAGGGGTGGCTGTTACTGTTGTGGCGGTGGTTTGGAGTCCAGTACACAGGTTAACTGTTTGAATTGTGGCTTCTCTTTAGCCAGGGATGGAAGAAGTCACAGAACAACAGAACAACCTGTCAGACCAGAACAGATCTCAGGCTGCTGACAGAGGAGACGGTGACACGCCTGAGAGGCATGGACTGAAACAAACTGTTCCTGGAAACAGGCGGATGCTTTGCAGACATACTGTCAGTGATGCAGTTGTACAGAAGGGCCCAGAGACTGCCAGCAACCTCCCCATTCCCCAAGAGGCTAGTATTTCCCAGTCTTAACAGTAATAAGGAATTAATTTGGCTGCCAAGAAGTGAGTCCTTAGCAAGAAGATGCTGAGCATGAATACAGCTTAAAACTAAATGTACTTTGGCTTGAGAAAAAGCAGAAAGTTCCTAAAAGCTTTTCCATGGCTGGAAAAATACAGCAAAGAAAATGATCACCATCTCTTTTCTCTTCAGAGCTAATGAATATGCTTGAAAAGGACTACACAAAAATTCTAGTAGTGTCCAGTTCTTTAAGACTAGGGTGTATGATTATTTTTTTTATTTTTTAGCATTTAAAAAAATTTTTTTAAATATATTTTATTGATTATGCCATTACAGTTGTCCTATTTCCCCCCTTCATTCCCCTCTACCCTGCACACCCCCTCCCCCACCATTCCCCCCCCTTTAGTTTATGTCCATGTGTCTCAAGTTCTTTAGATTCTATATTTCCAATACTATTCTTGCCCTCCCCCCTATCTATTTTCTACCTACCATCTATGCTACTTATTCTCTGTACCTTCTCCTCCTCCCACTCCCCTGTTGCTAACCCTCCATGTGATCTTCATTTCTATGGTTCTGCTCCTGATCTAGCTGTCCTCTCAGTTTACTTTTGTTTTAGGTGTGGTTGTTAATAACTGTGAGTTTGTTGTCCTTTCACTGTTCATATTTTTTATCTTCTTTTTCTTCGATAAGTCCCTTTAATACTTCATATAATAAGGGCTTGGTGATGATGAACTCCTTGAATTTGATCTTATCTGAGAAGCACTTTATCTGCCCTTTCATTCTAAATGAAACCTTTGCTGGATAGAGCAATCTTGGATGTAGGTCTTTGGATTTCATGACTTGGAATACTTCTTTCCAGCCCCTTCTTGCCTGTAAGGTCTCTCTTGAGAAATCTGCTGACAGTCTGATGGGAACTCCTTTGTAGGTGACTGTCCCCTTATCTCTTGCTGCTTCTAGGATTCTCTCCTTCATTTTTATCTTGGCTGATGTCATTATGATGTGCCTTGGTGTGTTCCTTCTTGGGTCCACCTTCTTTGGGACTCTCTGAGCTTCCTGGATTTCCTGGAAGTCTATTTCCTTTGCCAGATTGGGGAAGTTCTCCTTTATTATTTGTTCAAATAATTTTTCCACTTGTTGCTGTTCCTTTTCCCCTTCTGGTACCCCTATAATTCGGATGTTGGAATATTTTAAAAATGTCCTGGAGGTTCCTAAGCCTCTCCTCATTTTTTTGAATTCTTGTTTCTTCATCCTTTTCTGTTTGGTCATTTTTTTTTTCCTTCTGGTCCACTCCCTTGATTTGAGTCCCAGTTTCCTTTCCATCACTACTGGTTTCCTGTGCATTTCCCTTCATTTTTCAATTAGTTCAGCCTTCAAATGTTCCTCTAATTTGTGATTAAAATCAACCAGTTTTGTGAGCATCCTGATCACGAATGTTTTGAACTGTACATCTGATAGGTTGGCTATTTCTTGGTCGCTTAGAGTTATTGGCTCTGGAGCTTTGAGTTCTTCTTGAGCCATAATGATTTGGTTTGTTCACACCTGTTACATATGAGTGGCAGAGCCTTAGGTGTTCACCAGGGGGGGCAACTCAGTCGTTCGGTTGTGATGCTGTATGTGGGGGCGGGGTCAGAGAGGGGCGATGGTGGTGCCCTCTGCTGCTTCCCGCCACTGGGGCCTGCATGGTCTGTCTCACTGCTCGCTCCTTCGCCTGGTTTATCTGAGTGCGAATGTGTGGCTGCGGTCAGCCTGTCACTTTGCGCCTTCATTGGGTCTGCCCATTACAACCCCACACCTGGGATCTGCCAACCGCCACCGGCACTCCTGTGTCAGTCTGGCCGATCTTTCCTGTACGAACCCACTCCACCCCTCTTACCTGATCACGTGGCTGAAGTCTGGCTGAAGGGTTCGTTGTTGTTGGAATTCTGTATAGTTCAATTTTCTGTGTTTTGGTTGCGTGGTTTTTTTTACTAAAACTTTGTTGTCTTTAAAATTGGTTGTGCGAGGAGGCACAGTGTTTCCACCTACACCTCCCCATCTTGGCCATGATTCTTTTAAAAAATATTTTAATTGATTTGAAGAAACATGGATTTGTTGTTTCACATATTTATGCTTTCATTTGTTGATTCTTACATGTGCCCTGATCAGGGATCAAATGCACCGCCTTGGTGTATCAGGACGCCAAGTTGAGCTACCCAGCCAGATTCCTTGGTTACAGTGAGAGGTTTCATCACCAGATTCTGATCTCCTGCTAAAAGGTTCTAAACCTTTGTGACATATATTAAATTAAAGCTAAAACAATTCCACCATGTGCGATGAGCTGAAGGGAAGCGGTTTAGGTTTTATGGTACTATGGAGGCCAGGCAGAAACGTCACATTTGAATGAAGAAAATAGGACCTGGAAAATGTTCCTTTGCAAAGCAACACTTGAATCCAAAGATGCCTAAATGCCATTTTGATATTCATTTGGACATATATGACCTGTTTGACACTATGTATGTGGGGAAAGGTGGGTATAATTTTTCTAAAACGAAGTACGTACAGATATTCGGTCACTGCACATGCGCACCTGTAGCAATGTCTTTAGAAACACCCTTTCCATTAAGAGCCTTCCCTTAAAAGTCACATCTGAGGATAGTGGTAACAGAAGGTAGATTTGGCACATCTTTCTTAGTCTTTTAATTCAGATTCAAAACTTACAGCACAAACCAGGTCAAAGTAACTTTGAGTTAGAATTTAATGCTATTTATTCCTTTTTATGAATTTCTATAAATTATACTTATTTTTTTATGTTACTTGGTCTAGTCCACAAACATGGGTTTGCCCTAAGTACATTTTCAAATAACTTTGTAATAGGGAAATGGCTTGGTGTGTGTTCTTAGAAATACTTGTGTATGTAAAGGGAGGGGCTGATTATTTTTCTACAAAGTAATTTATGATTTCTAATTTTCTAATGTGCCTTGGGTATGTGCCAAATGATGGAAAAGAAACAGTAAACTTTATGATTCTTGAGTGTGTCATGGTGTACTTTTTTTGAGTTACTGGGTAAGTACTTGCTATAAAGATAGTATGTTTTAAAACCTCTAGTATAAGCATGTGCTTTGTGTATGGAAAAATCTCCCCCCACTGGATGTACATTTTATTTTTCAGTTATAGGTATGACTGAAACGTAAACTGGGTCATCAGAGTGCATCACTCATTACCTTTCTACCCTGACAACACATTAGACATGGTGCCTAGGCCCCACAAAAATTTCTTTTATAATCAGAAGAAAAATGAATATACTATGGCTTTTTAGCCTGCCCACACAGGAAATGAGTGTTGTTGCTTTGCAAATTTAATTCATTTTCATCCTTTTCTGTTGGGGACCACTTTGTGTGGCATTGGAGACTGTGAGCCCCTCGTGAGCAATGCCTTGACCACAGTGCTGGGAATGCAGGAGGCAGGCATGACCGGATGCTAGCACCTAGGGTTCACGTGGGAAATCTTGCCTGAAGAATGCACTGTATCCTTTGAAGCCTGCTTTGCTCTGTATAGCTCTGTTGGTATTAACCAGATAAGCACAAGGAGTGAACTCCTCATCTCATGAAACAGACCTTAACAACCAGCTGGGGTCAGCATGTCTAACAGACACTAACCTGAGGCAGATTTCTGTGTTCCTTCAATTGCTATCTACAGATACTGTTTTCTATTAACTATAGCCTTTGGGCATTGATTGATGAGCTGTACATGCATGCTGTACACCCCTGCACACACCAACCCCTATAAAAGTCATTTTGGAGAATGGCTCGGAGTATTCTCCACTAGAGGGAATCACCACCCCTTTTCCAGCCTGAACAAAAGATTGGTGTCTGGGATGAATCATTCTCATCTGTGGTGGCCAGGAGAGCTCTTTAGGACAGGGCATCCCACACTTTTCTCCACTTTTGAACAAAATAATTCATTGCCTTAAGTTGCTATGGTTCTCAACCATCCTAATTAAGAAACCATATCCTATAGTTTATCAAAACAGCCATTTCCAGTACACAATGATACCACCAAATTTTTTGGATGGTACAATATAATTTTAGCAATTGGGAGGCAGAACCATCAAATAGGAAACAAGTTCAGAGAAGTAAGGGGACTAATTTGCTTGCACTATCAGAGCTGAGGACAAAGCACAATTGGCAATGACTGGCAGTATCATCTGATTTGGCAGTTTCCGGCTTGCTGTTCCTTCACCTGGAGATAGAAATACACTGAATGGACTGTCAATCTTAAGGGAGGAGTTTCTGGTAATGAGCAGGGTAGCCATCTGAAGTGATTTCCCTCAAATATATTTGAAAACACTTGTGTGTTTCTCCAATTGCTTTCCCACTTAAAACTAAATCTGATTACACAACTTAGAAACTGCCGCCTTGGGCTGCTGTAGCTCAGTGGACTGAGCGTGGGCCTGTGAACCAAACAGTTGTGTTTCGATTCCCAGTCAGGGCACATGCCTGGGTTGCAGGCCAGGTCCCCAACAGGGGGCGTACAAGAGGCAACCACCCTCCCCTAGAGGGAGGGATGTTTCTCTCTCTCTCCTTTCCCCTCTCTAAAAATAAATAAACTCTTTTATAAAAATTGCTAATGCCCAAGTTTCAATTTTGAATGTTTTGAATTCAACGTACTGCTAGGTTAGAATAAGCACTCCCCACTCCACCCTTGGAGAGGGTGTATTCCACCCTTGTCTTCAAGAAGTTCTATCCCTGTATACAGAACCACTTTCCATTCTCAAGTGTCTTTGAAGCCCAGAGTTTGACAATCTTTAAATACATTCACATTGGTAGTTGACAGTGATAACAATACTTGCTAAAAATTTTCTAGTCTCCAGCATTTTAATGTAACTGAGACCTAAAGCAAAATTTACCTGTAACTAGATTTTTTGTTTTTCAAAATCCTTCATCAAAATTTACTTCTGAAAAAAAAATTTACTTTTGACTATTTAATTCTGTTCCTTTAAAAAACTGATTATGTTTTCAATGGTTCTACTCACTTGTTTTTCATTCAGAAATGCTAGTCACTGCTCTGGCTGGTGTGGCTCAATGAACTGAACACTGGCCTCCAGAGTGAAAGGTTGCTGGTTCAATTCCCAGTCAGGACACAGGGTTGCAGGCCAGATCCCCAGCTGGGGGCATGCAAGAGGTAACCTCACACACTGAACATTTCTCTCCCTTTTCCTAACAAAGTATATAAAATTATTTTAAAAATTAAAGAGAAAGAAATGCTAGTCACTTAATTTCAACACTCTTTCTTTGTTGACTATAGTTACAAATTTCAAGATTATTCTAATAGAGTAAACTCTCAAACGTATAGTACTTTAAACATATGTTAGTGTTATGGTAGCTAAAGCAGAGACTGGAACTGTAAACCACATTGCCCATTACTTTTCTGCAGCTGATTCTATTAATTACATTAAACATTCTAACTTTCTCTTGGGCTGGGTCTCACAAACTAAGACATCTAAAAGGTTATATCAAACAGCTCACTTCAGAGTTAAATTTACAAATTAAATTTATGAGCAAAGGGGAGTAAAGCACAATATAAAACATGACATTTGCTTTAAATTACCTGCAACTTTATTGAAGAACCCAGAACATTTCTACCAAAATGTTTAACTGTTGTTAAACCATCAACTAGATTTTAATCATCAGAAGTGTCATTTCTCTTACAAACATGTTTATTATTGCTGAAGTATTATTACCAGTATGTCCTATTTTGAGAATTCTTTTCATCACAAGTATTACTCTACTTATAGAGATTTTTTGGATAGAGATAATTATTTGTTAGATAATACACCTCAAGGCCTTTGAAAAGCAGACTATAAATGAAACCAAAGCTAAGAATATTCTTAACTTACATGTAAGTACTATTTGCAGGAAGAAAAATAGCTCACCTGCTTTCAGAATCTATGTCTTGGAAATATTAAAGTTGATTTAGCTTATTCAATGGGTTTTTAACTCCCATGATGTTACTGGATGCTACTGTCTTCTCACTAAAGACTACTCAAGCAATTTCTATTTCTGCTATAGCCATTTTGTTACCTAATGCTAATGTCATAATTATAAAGGATATATTCAGGCTGCTACATGTTTAAAAGTTTTTGGTAGGAAAGGAAAAATGCAAAATACAGATCTTCTGTTCATTCAGCTACAGTCTAAAATAATTTTGCCCAAATTGTTTTATTTTACATAACAAGTTTATTTTTTTAAGGTATATAAACAGTAAACAAGGTAAACATTCAATCAGATCTTAGCTTCTGCCAAGCAATATCTGTCCTGCAACTGTCCCATGAAGTTCCAGTGCCTATGAATCCTAAATTCAATAGTCGTCATCTTCATCGGAGTCCATCACTTTTCTCCTGTTGAACTGGTGGAGAGGGTAGGAATTAAGTGTTACTATGAGTTTAAAAAAGCACAACCCAGATTTTCTCAGAAGTGATAATGCCACCTACTACAAGACATTTTTGTCTGTCTTTAAAACAACTTCATGTGTTTAGATCTAAGGGGAGAGGGAATAATGTCACAAAAGCCTTAAAGATTAGACCACTCAATATATGCACTCTTGCCCCTCCAACTTCCATGTGTTACACAATGGGAATGTCTATAGGCTGAAACATGTTATAACATAGTATATGTACATTGAACACAACATTTCAAATGTCAATTTTTCTCTTTTGCCATGTGCATTTGGGGAAACTTACTTTAACTGTGGTTTTCTTTTCTGTTTGTTGGCTTACTTTTTCAAGGATTTCTATTAAACCCTGTTCTGTTACCTAGGATAACCAGAAAGAAAAACAGTACTTTTAAGCAAAGAATTGACTCAGCAGATTGAATCATTTTAGTCTTTCTGGGGTATGGAGGTAGTGGTCAAGAGGGAAGGAGAGGCAGGACAAGAGATTGGAACTACTAGTTATAACTACCCTGGCTGGTGTGGTTCAGTGAGTTAAGTGCTAACCTGTTAACCGAAGAGTCACCAGTTTGATTCCTGGTTAGGGTACATGCCTGGGTTGTAGGCCAGGTCCCCAGATGGGGACTTGTGAGAGGCAACCAACTGTTTCTCTCACACATTGATATTTGTCTCCTTCCTTGTCACTCCCTTCTCTTTTAAAAAAACAAAGTCTTAACAAAAAATAAATAAACTACCAGTTATAACTGCAGGCATACCTTGTTTCACTGTGCTTTGCTTCGTTGCACTTCACAGGTGTTGCATATTTTACAAAGTGAAGGCAAGACCCTCCAGCAAAAAAAGATTATGAGTGGCTTTATTGCAGCAGCCTAGAACCAAAGTTGCAGTATCTCCGAGGTATACCTGTTAGTTTAAGTTCCAAACAGAACTGCTCTGCTAGTCATCTGAGAGGGGGAAAGTATCCAGAAAAATCCGAAGTTAACAGGTATTTAGGAACGGCTTTACCACCACTAGCAGACAAAGACAACCACCTACACCCCTCTGTTCTATCAGTGAGAGACACACACCACCTCCTCCCTTGAGATCCTGAAAGGTTAAACACAGGAGATAGTCATTCAAAAAAGATGAAGCACTCACTGAGTCTTCCACACATTTTAGTGTAAGGGGTCCAGGGCTGAATTGATACTTCCAGGGTGTGGTGGTAGCAGAGGGCTTCCCAGTGCAGGTGGGGTGCATGTGCATCTTTGGGGACAGTCTTGGAAGAATATACCCATCATGGCATTACAGCAACACACATAATAACCAGGAATTTTAGCACACTTTGACTTGCAAAACAAGCTTAATGTCTACCTATGTTGGCAGTTTTTTAATATGTATTGTTGAGAAACCCTAGCTGGTCACAGACACCAGCAAGGTTCCAGAAAAATGTCAGGGAAAAAAAGCAGCAGAGGATTTTCAGAAAGGTAGTTATGGTCGGTACAATTATTCTCACCTTTAAAATTGCTTCCTTGAAATAGCCAACAAGATTTCTGTAACCAGAGATAAAATTCACTTTTTTTGGGGGGGAGAAAGAAACACTGACTTGTTGTTCCACTTATTTATAAATGCATTCGTTGATTTTATTATTTTTATTTTTTTTAAATTTTTTATTGATTATGCTATTACAGTTCTCCCATTTTCCCCCTTCACTCCTCTCCACCCTGCACACCCCCTCCCAGCCACATTCCCCTCCCCTCCTGTAGTTCATCTCCATGTGTCATACTTCTATGTTCTTTGCTTCTCCATTTCCCATACTATTCTTGCCCTGCCCCCTATCTATTTTCTACCTACCATCTATGCTACTTATTCTCTGTACCTTTCCCCCTCTCTCCTCCTCCCACTCCCGTTGCTACCCCTCCATGTGATCTCCATTTCTGTGGTTCTGTTCCTGTTCTAGTTGTTTCCTTAGTTTGTTTTTATTTTAGGTGTGGTTGTTAATAACTGTGAGTTTGCTGTCATTTCACTGTTTATCTTTTTTATCTTCTTTTTCTTAGGTAAGTCCCTTTAGCATTTCATATAATAAAGGCTTGGTGATGATGAACTCCTTGACTTTGATCTTATCTGAGAAGCACTTTATCTGCCCTTCCATTCTAAATGAAAGCTTTGCTGGATAGAGCAATCTTGGATGTAGGTCTTTGGATTTCATGACTTGGAATACTTCTTTCCAGCCCCTTCTTGCCTGTAAGGTCTCTCTTGAGAAATCAGCTGACAGTCTGATGGGAACTCCTTTGTAGGTGACTGTCCCCTTAGCTCTTGCTGCTTCTAGGATTCTCTCCTTCATTTTAATCTTGGCTAATGTCATTATGATGTGCCTTGGTGTGTTCCTTCTTGGGTCCACCTTCTTTGGGACTCTCTGAGCTTCCTGGATTTCCTGGAAGTCTATTGCCTTTGCCAGATTGGAGTTCTCCTTTATTATTTGTTCAAATAAGTTTTCCACTTGTTGCTGTTCCTCTTCCCCTTCTGGTACCCCTATAATTCGGATGTTGGAACATTTAAAGATGTCCTGGAGGTTCCTAAGCCTCTCCTCATTTTTTTGAATTCTTGTTTCTTCATCCTTTTCTGTTTGGTCATTTTTTCCTCCTTCTGGTCCACTCCTTTGATTTGAGTCCCGGTTTCCTTTCCATTACTATTGGTTTCCTGTGCATTTCCCTTCATTTCAATTAGTTTAGCCTTCAAATGTTCCTCTAATTTGTGACTAAAATCACAATGCTCACAGTTCTGTGAGCATTCTGATCACCAGTGTTTTGAACTGTGCATCTGATAGGTTGGCTATTTCTTCACTGCTCAGATTTATCAGCTCTGGGGCTCTGAGTTGTTCTTGAGCCATGTTTTCATCTGTTTGTGCCTGTTACTTATGGGGAGCAGAGCCTTAGCTGTTCACCAGGGTGGGGCCACCCAGGTCGCTGGTTTGTGACGCTGTATGTGGGGGCGGGATCAGAGAGGGACAATGGTGGTCCCCTCTGCCACTTCCCGCAACTGGGGCTTGCATGGTCTGTCTCACTGCTCGCTCCTTCACCAGTTTATCTGCGTGCAAACGTGTGACCGTGGTCAGCCCTCAGTGAGTCCACCACCTTGTGCCCTCAGTGTGTCCGCCCGCCACTCCACACCTGGGATCCGCCCAGGGCTGCCAGGGTGCCTGGGTCGCGCACCCAGGTTGGTCCCGTGGATCGTTCCTGCCTGACCTTGCTCTGCTGCTGGCTCTGCCCCTCTTACCGGTTTGGCTGAAGGGTTCATTGTTGTCAGACTTCCGTATAGTTCAATTTCCTGTGGTTTGGCTGCGTTTTTGTTACTAAAACTTTGTTGTTCTTAAACTTGGTTGTGCGAGGAGGCACAGTGCTTCCACCTACGCCTCCATCTTCGCGGAAGTGTCCCTCTTCCTTCTGGTCCACTTCACTAATTTGAGTCCCAGTTTCCTTTCCATCACTATCGGTTCCCTGTGAATTTTCCTTTATTTCACTTAGTGTAGCCTGCATTTTTTCACCTAATTTGCAACCAAATTAAATCAATTCTGTGAGCATCCTGATCACCAATGATTTGAACTATGCGTCTGATAGTTTGGCTATCTCTTCTTTAGTTGTATTTTTTCTGGAGATTTGATCTGTTCTTTCATTTCAGCCATTTTTTTGGTCTTGACAGGCCTGTTATGTAGTGAGAGGTGGAGCCTTAGGTATTCACCCAGGCGGGGCAACCCAGTTGCTGGGTTCTGACGCTGTTATGTGGGGGAGGGATCCAAGAGGGAACAATGGAACTTGCTCTGCTCTCTGCCAGATTTTAGGCACTTCCACCGCTTCCCCGAAGCAAACTGGGCCTTTCTGGTGCTGATTCCTGGGTGGGTATGTTTGTGTACATTTGTTGGTCTCTCCAATGAATTCTCCTGTGAGGCTGAGTTTCTCCTGGCACCTCAACCCCCACAGGTGTTTTCAATCAGTGGTTTGAGGCTTCATTTCCCAGAGCTGGGGCCCTGGGTTGTGTGGTCTGTCTCCCCAGTTTTGCCTGGTTTATCTATGCACAAATGTGGGACCACCCGGTTCTGTAAGCCACCTTGCACACCAAACCCCTCCACAATCCGCCAGCCTCCCTGGGTCCACCAGCCGCCGTGCCATGAGCCCTCTGTCCCAGCTCCCCAACTCCACCCCTCTTACCAGTCTGGATGAATATGTCTACTTTAACTCCTTGGTTGTTGGACTTCCACACAGTTCAATTTTCTGTCAGTACTGTTGTTATTTTTTTTCTAAATTTTTGTTGTGTTTATTTTGCTTGTGCGAGGGGGAACAGTGTGTCTACCTATGCCCCCATCTTGGCCAGAAGTCCCACTGGTTGATTCTTGTATGTGCCCTGACTGGGGATCAAACCCCCAACCTTGGTGTATTGGGATGAAGCTCTAACCAACTGAGCTACTCAAACCAGGGCAAAATTGACCTTCTGAAGATATGTTTTCAGCCCTGGCTGGTGTAGCTCAGTGGAATGAGCGCAGGTCTGTGAACCAGAGGATCGCAGTTCAATTCCCAGTCAGGGCACATTCCTGAGTTGCAAGCCAGTTCCCTGCAGGTCAGTTCCCAGCACGGGACGCACTAGAGGCAACCATACATTGATGTTTCTCTCCCCCTCTCCTTCCCCTCTAAAGATAAATAAATAAATAAATATTTTTTTTAAAAAAAGGTATGTTTTCATAAAGTAGGTAACAACAGGTAAAACTAACTCAAGCTTACCTTCCCACTTAGCTGTCCGTATCTTGCCATCTGTATAAGGTAATTCTCTACTCCTTTAGTTTTTTCAGGCTTTACAAGTGCTAAGTTACTTACTAAAAAAAAAAAAATACAAAAAGATGTCAAAACTAAATGTATTTATAACTTAAAATTAAGCAACATTTCCAAAGTACTTCACAGACTTATTTATGTCTTGAGACTACCAAGGTAGGAATGGCAGAAGGTACTATTACCCTCTTAAAAATGAGGAATCTGCCCTGGCCAGATGGCTCAGTTGGTTGGAGCATCATCCCATATACCAAAAGGTTGAGGGTTCAATTCCTGGTCTGGGAACACACCTAGATTATGGGTTTGATCCTCAGTCTCTCTTTCTCCCTTTCTCTCTCTTAAATCAATAAACATATCATTGTGTGAATATTAAAAAAAAATGGGGAAACTAAAGTTCGGCCGTGTCAATCTCAGTCAAGGCCATATAGAAGTAGTAGCAGAATGGAGATTAAACTTTGGTCCTCAGAGGCTAAGCCTCATGTTTTCTTTTTAAAAATATATATTGGGTTGACAAGAAAGTCCATTTAGCTTTTTCCCTAAAATAAAACACATTTTTTAATTTTCACCAATAACTTTATTGATTTGAATATTTTGAGTATGTTGGCTATCTCCTACATGGTATGACATTCATTGTTCTCAATGTCTTGACTTGATAGTTATCAACTCTAACTGGTCTATCTGACTGTGGAACATCATCCAGTGAGAAATCTCCAGCATGAAACTTCACAAACCACTTCTGACAAGTTTGATAGGTCACAGCACCTTCTTTTCTACATATACTACAAAAATCTTTTTCTGTGGTTTTACCTTTCTTGAAATAATAAAGCATAATATGCTGAAAATGTTGCATATTTTCTTCCCCCTTCAAATTATAATAGCTACCCCCAAATTCGCCAATTCTGATGAGATGTTTTTATTTTTAATTTTTAAAAAGATTTCTTTAAATTTATTTTTAATAGCTACCCCCAAATTCACCAATTCGATGTTTTTATTTTTAATTTTTTAAAAAGATTTTTTAAAATTTACTTTTAAAGAGAGGGAAGACAGGGAAAAAAGGAGAGAACAGTGATCAGTCATCTCTCACACACCCCCAACTGAGGACCTGGCCCAAAACCCAGGCATGTGCCCTGACTGGGAATTGAACCAGCAACATTTCAGTTAGCAAGCCAATGCTCGACCCACTGAGCCACACCAGCCAGAGCTTGTTTTTTTTTTCAATGCATTCTGATATGACAGCTGTCACAATACAGTCTAATAAGATTAATTGGAATGAAGTTAAAGACAACTAAACGCCACTAAGAGGCATCTTATAGAAAAACAAATGAACTTTTTGGCCAACCCAAAATGACTGCTCTCTGAAAAATAAATTATATATAACTACATATAAAATAAGTATCCATCTAAGGCTGCCTCTTCTAAGCTGGGCTTCAAGTTACAATACAGAAGATACTAGTTCATTCCAACTGGTTCATTTCATTATTTTTCTACTTGGTTTTCTTCTTGGGTTTTTATTATGAAAACTGTAACTAAAACAGATACATGATTTTATTTGGTTTTCAATTATGAAAAATTATTAACTAAGACAAATACAATAAATCCCTATGTTCCTATCAGTGAAGTCAACCACTAGCAACACATTGTAACTGACTTAACAGTTGTTGACTGTAAATTTTACCTAACGAGCACTGGGGGGATCATCTCCTTGGTAGACCAAGCTGATTCATTTAATAATTAAAGTCCAGCACTGACTGGTATAGCTCAGTGGTTTGAGCGCGGGCCTGTGAACCAGAGGACCATGGTTCAACTCCCAGTCAGGGCAAATGCCTGGGTTGCAGGCCAGTTCCCAGCGGGGTACTCATGAGAGGCAACCACACATTGATATTTCTCTCCCTCTCTCCTTCCCTTCCCCTCTAAAGATAAATAAAATCTTAAAAAAATAATAATAATTAAAGTCCATTTCTTTAGGTTTATAAACTTCACATTTCTTACAAGTATCTGTATTTTAAGTGTTTTTAAGTTAAATAAATATTTCATCTAGAGCCAGCAATAATCTCATACCTTACCATTCAACTAACCCAAGCCAATTTTATGGAAATAAAGAAAACTGAAGATGCTTACACCGGGCCCGGGCTGACTGATCCAGAACTTGGGCTAAGATACTGTTTCTCATTTCTGCTTCTCTACAACAAGAACAGGTCAAGCAAAATTAGAACTAAGCTGTCAGCATTCCTATTGAACACACAAAAATGCAACTCACTCAATCGGTTTCCCAAGATGAAAGGTTACTACAGAGAGACTGCACGACAGTAGGTGCTGTATGGATGGCAGCAGTTCTCATTACAGTAGAGGAGTCCACTCATAGACTCAGAGTTGGAGAGCAGATAATAGCTAGTGGGCAGAGGGGGTGGAGGGATGAAGGAAAAAGGACTCATGGACATGGACAACAGTGTGGTGATAGCTGGGGGGAGGGAGATATAAGGGGACTAAACAGTAATGGAAAAGATACAATAAAGATTAAATTTCAAAAATAAGAGTCCACTCTTGCTCCAAAAGCCAACCTTATATGTGTGGGTATAGACCTACAAGGTTGAAAGGTACAACTTTACATTTTTATAACTTACATAGGAGTTTTGGTTCAGCCACCATTACCAACATTTACTAAGTATTTACTGTGTGAGAGGTGCTAAAACATTTGTACTGATTAATTCGTGTAATCTCAGAGGTGAAGAAGCTGAAACCTAGGGAAACTATAAGGGGATATAAGTAATTGTGGCCAAGCTAGAACCAAATCCCATTGTTTCAAAACAGTTCTATTTTGGGGGTATGAAATTATAACTCTGCCACTATCTTTACACCTTCCCACCTATCCAAGTAGGAACTAATTCATGTTCCTAGCATAGTGGCTTCAAACTTTTTTTAAGCAGCAGCAATTTTTTTAAGTGAAGTCCTTCAAGGAACTTAACACAGACAAAAGCAGACATTCTTTGGCTGAACTGAGGAGGAACTGGGGCTCGCTATGCCCACTATCGCCCTCCATCAGAGGAGCCCTAGGGTTCATGGTACACTTTCAGTGGAATTTGAAGTCCACTTCCATGGGTCATTTCCTTCCTGTACCTCAGTACTTCAATTCAACCCTGCCATAAACAACTGTTACTCCATTTCACTGAATCTAAGATGCCATTGACTGTAAGATGGACCATGGTGCTGTGTACTTCTAAGAACAAAAAAAAAAGAGTCTAGATGAGGAATCTAATAGGAGATTCCACACTCAAAGCTTGGGCATCAAAGAGCAATGGCCACAACAAAGTAAACAGGAAATAAACTTGCCATGCAAAAAGAGACAGCAAATAAGGGTGCACGCATCAAACCTGGCCCTGAGTGGAGGAAGAAAAAAAATTCCTTTGAGAATTTCAACTTCAAGCTTTAGTCATGCAAATTTACTGTCTGAATCCACACCACCAGGGTGGAGGGAAAGAGTGGGAACCTCAAGCATAGAACTTAATTTTAAGATGTCTCAGATTAGAACTGTACACAAGTGATGGAAGAAGCAAAAGTAAACCGTCTCTGGCAGAACCCAGGACAACAGTGACTGATCATGAAACCCACCTAATTTCAGATATGTTAAACCATGAATAAAGATACACCTCAGAATCAATGACATTCATGTAGTTTCACTTTCTTCTTAGCACTATTCCAGGTGTTTACTATCTTACCCCACTAATACAAGCCATGTATGAGCAGGAACCTTCTCTGACTCGCCTATTCCTATGGACCCAGCATAGTGCCGGACCTACAGCAGGTGCTCAGTAAATATTCACTGACTGAGTTGAAAGGCAGCGTGATGGAGGCAGGGAAAAATGAGGAGTCAGTCAATAAGCATAGTTTCAATTTTGCAAGATGAAAAAGTTCTAGAGATCTGTTGCACAATAATGAGAATATAGTTAACATGACAGAACTGTATACTTACAAATGGTTGTTATAGTAAATTTGTTATGTATTATTTTATCACAGAAATAAAAAGGTAGCATGATGGGATAACTAACTATTGATTCAACAAACCTGCCAAGGGCAAGGTATTCTGCCACGTGCTAGGATAAGATAAGAATAATATAACAGTTAATATTTACCTAGCATTTACTAAATTTGAGGTACTGAACCCATGTAATCCTCACAACATGAGGGTTAGGAGGTAGTCCTAATATCGTGTTGATTTAAAGACAATCACAGTTTAGCAGAGAAACAAACCAGTAATTGTATTTAACAAGGTAGTAAGTGCTGTGAGATTCTACACATACTTATTTAACAAATTAATAACAGATACCCTGGAGATCTGTGAAAAATCACTATTCCAGGAAAAACTTAGATTAACATACTATTAAAATAACCAGTTAAAAAAAACATTTGGTGAAACAACCCTTCAGAGCTCCAGTCCATCCATACCTGTGCTTTGCCTCCTGTTGTGCTGCATCGCCAGGATCCTAAAAAATAATTCTGTCTTAGTCCAGTAATTAATTTCACAAGGGATTAAAACAAAGTATTTTGTTTCAGATACCTAATAGGGCCCTGCAGTGATACAGATCATATTATTGCCAAATAATTAAAAGCTGGGTATCCCAAGTGGTGGTGGGGGGTGAAGATAATTATACTCGAAGAACAATTTAAAAAAAGCTGGGCCTTCCACACGTCAATGGGATGGTTTCCACTTATTAAAATGCTTTGATAAACTCCTAAAATCACAATAAAATGGAATGTTTTAGAACACAAACAACCATTAGGGAGGGGAAATCCCTGTACAATGAAAAGGTATTTGAGGAGACAAGAATAATTTCTAGGGTTAAAAAATGTGCTGGGTATTGGGGACGCTGCTGATTCAAATGCGCTTCCTCGGAGACTACCGCGTCCTCTTCCACAGTCCTCTCCCTCTCTCGACAACAGTCATTATTTGAGTATTCTACCTATGGAATTCGTGTTTAGGGTCCGGCTCCTCCCCGGGGTTGTCACTCCGGATTGGACGCGCCCCACTATACCTCTCACAGCAGACTCCCAACAAACGTTGGTCTACCATTGCAGTCAGAATTCTACAAAACAATTCCGCTGGAACCAGTAGTCAAAACAGGCTAAAAGTTCTACTTTGGACCGACGCTAGCCCGGGCGCGACCTCTGGGGCGAGTCGAACTCCGCCTGAGAGATGACTGGAGCCGGACCCACGCGGGACAGCACGTGGTCAGCACGATGCCCGAAACCCCACGCAACGCGCAACGCGACAAGGAGAAAGGCCCAGGACGGACACTGAGTCAGCGGCGGGCTTCCCCGCCAGCGGGCCCCACACCGACTGCCGCGCCTAGAGCCTCGGCCTGCGGCTGCGCCCTCCACCTCGAGTAAGGGCGGCGCCCCGCGGGAGGATGGGCCGGGCCGGCGGCGGGCTCGCTCACCGCTTGCTTCGCCTGCAGCTCTGCCAGCCTTTGCTTCCGCAGAGCCTCCAGCTCCTCCTCCGCCATAGCGCGACGGTCCCGGTAAAACGGCCGGAAGCTCGCTGCAGCCCTCTCGGAGTTACCTCCCTGAGCCTCACCAGGCGAGCATAGCCTTCCCCACTGCGCAGGCGCCCGCAACTCCCAGGCATCACCAATTCAGCCCGGAGCCGCACCGCCGTACGCAGCCCAGCGCCTGGAGAGGCTGGATTACCGGATCGCAGGTGGTCGGGTTTGGGGCGGGACTGTGGGCAGAACCGCTGTAGGGAGCCATCTCCTGTGAGGCCCCGCTTCCCTTCCCCGAGTGGAAGCTCTGCACTTGCGGGTATCGCGTGGGCTGGGACCCGGCTGCGAGTGGGATATGATAAAAATCTAAAAACAGGTCCTCGTAAGCAAGTAAAATAGTAAAAGGCAATATTTGTTGGTAGCCTATAGAGAGGCTCATGTTATCTCCATTTATAGATGAGAATCCCTGAGCCAAGAACGATTAAGTGGTTGACGAAAAGGTTCTTAAATTGGATTGTAGTGAGGGTTGCACAACTCTGAAATTTGCTACAAAGACATTAAATTGTACACTTAGATTGGGTTAAAGGTGTGCCAGCGGCGGAGATAGAAGAGACTCGCTGGTCACTAATCATTAAGCCGAGTTAAAGCGAATTTGAGGATGAGACTTGGGCACAGACAGGCCTTTCCTCCAAGGTTTGGAGCCAATTTCTGGACACTACTTTCCCCCGGAGGGCCTGTCGGAGGCCGTTGAGGTGGGCAACTGTGGCTGCGTTAACTCCCTGGCGGGGGTGGTGTGGGGAGGGTGCAGCTTTGGAGTGAGGCCATTGGTGTGTGTGGAGTAACCTGTTAGTAATTCAGGTTATGCGCCCGCTGTTTTTTCAATTGTGACAAAATATAGTATAAATTTGTCCATTTATGACTATTTTTACTGTACAGTTCAATAGTGTTATTAAGTGCATTCACATAAACTCTTCATCTAGTAAAACTGAAACTCTAAACCCATTAAATAACAATGACCCAATCCCCTTCCCTTCTCCCCCCGAAACCTTAGTAACCACCATTATATTCTGTGTTCCTTATGATTTTGACTGACTACGTCTGTAAATGAAATCATACAATATTTGTCATTTTTTGACTGGTTTATTTCACTTGGCGTACTGTCCTCAAGGTTCATTCATGTTGTAGCATGTGCTAGAATGTCCTTCCTTTTAAGGCTGAAAAATATTCCACTATATGTGTATACCACATTTTGTTTATCCATTCATCTATCAGTGGACACTTGGGTTGTTTGCACTATTTGGCTATCATTAATAATGCTGCCATGAGCATTATTTAGAATATAAATATCTTTCAATTCTTGGGAATAGAGAATCTATGTGTTTTGAATTTGACATTCTTAAACATTAATAATGCCTTTTCTCTAATATTTAAATAAATAGGCAAGATTTGAGAGTGTGGAGAAAGTGTTAAAATGGTAGTCTGAAGTCTTGAGTTCCATTTCAGTGTGTCACAGTCGAGACCCTTGTGGACCATTTGTGAAATGGGTTACAAGCTGGCTCACATGACTTCCACTCATAAATGTCAGCCATACGTGGGATGGTGCCTGAGGGACACTCACAAGGAAGTGAGGACACCAGAATCATGTGAAAACAATCAGCAAACAGGTATTTTCATTCCTTAAATTGGAACACACTCCCAGTGTATCAAACATTTAAAGGTTTAAAAAATATGTCACAAAGCCATGATAAATTTTTTATGTATTTACGTAACTATTTCGTGAAAGAAATGAAAGGACTCTCCAAAAATCCATCTGGACTGGGCCTGGCTTTTAAATATATTCTCTGACAGCTTTTAATTTTCTTCTGGGGTCATCAACGTGGTCAAGTTTTCTTGTTTCTTCTCAATATAACTTTAATTTCTAGAGAATCATTCATTTCCATCAGCCTTTCACATTTTAGAAACGTTTGGCTATCACACTTATATGTGTGGTTAGATCCTTTTTTAGGGATTGTTGGTTTGATTGTTGACTTGATTTATTTGAGTTATTGTTTCTTTGTTTTTCTTTTCTTTTTAAAAATATTTATTTATTTTTAGAGAGAAGGGAAGGGAGGGAGAAAGAGAGGAAGAGAAATGTCAATGTGAGAGAGAAACATTGATTAGCTGCCTCTCATATGCTTCCCAACCAGGACTGAACCTACAGCCCAGGCATGTGCCTTGACTGGGAACAAACCAGCGATCTTTCATTTTGCAGGACAACACCCAACCTATAGAGCCACACCGATCAGGGCTCCTTGTTTCTCTTGATTATGCTTGCTAGACATTTTAATATTTCACTGTTTTTTTCCCCAAAGAACTCAAATTTATCACTATTGATTTATCATTCATAATTGATTACTTTCTGTTTTTATCTTTATTTCTCTTTTAATATCTTCATTGTTATTTCTTTCAGTTCCTTTGGATGGATGTTCTATTTGTTTCTTTTTATTTATTCCTGTTGAATAATGAAAACATGTAAGGAATTCATTTACTTGTGAGTACAGTTTTAGTTGCATCCCAAATGTAGTGTTTTCAGGGTTCACATTTTTTCTCCATCATAAGTTCTAAAACACTTTTCTGTTGTTTTGAGGTAGTAGTAATTTCTTTAATCTTTGACAAAATATTTGAGTTTTTTTAAGCCAATGATATATGGGGAAAGACAGCTATTCCTGGCCTAGTCTTAAACACCCAGTCTCAGTTCCCCAAAAGTAACAGCTTTCCTGCTAGCTTGCTCTTTAGTTGTTCCTCTAGTATTATCTTCAAGTATTCTTTTAACAACTATTTATCCAGTGCCTGCCTCCTAGATGCCAAACAACTATTCTGTGTACCAGTATATATAGAGATGAGTAAAAACATGGGGGGCTGGGCAGGGCAGGAGAGAGCAATGGGGGAAAATGGGGACAACTGTAACCGAACAATAATAATTTTTTGTAATTAAAAATAAAAATACCTGGCTGGTGTAGCTCAGTGGATTGAGTGCGGGCTGCGAACCAAAGGGTTGCTAGTTCGATTCCCAGTCAGGGCACATGTCTCGGTTGCAAGCCAGGTCCCAGTGGGGGCCATGTAGGAGGCAACCACACATTGATGTTTCTCTAACTCTCTCCCTCCCTTTCCCTGTCTAAAAATAAATAAAATCTTAAGAAAAATAGATAAATAAATAAATAAAATAGGCAAATGTCACTGCTTATCATTACTTACACAGTACTGGTGAAAGATTGAATAAATATGTAAATAAATAAAAGACAGCCTATAGATTATATGGTGATAAGTGAAGTGCTACGAGGGAAAAATAAAGCAGGTAGTGGGAATAGGGAACAGTGTGTCAGGGAAGTCTTCACTGGGATGGTGAGTTTTGAATAAAGACCAGAAGGAAGAGAATAAGAAAATCACAAAGATATCTTAGGGAAGCATATTCTAGGCAGAGGGAACAGAAATGCAAGGACCCTGAATTAGGAGCATGCCTGACATGTTTAAGGAACTACAAGAGAGCCAATGAGGCTAGACTAAACTATGAGAGGAAGGAAGAAGGCAAAGGCACAAGCAGGAAATAAGTTAAGAGGCTTTATATTTAAATAATATACCTATGTTGTTTTTCTTTTTCTTTTTTTTTTTTGTTTTTTTGTTTTTTTGGAGAGAGAGAGGAAGAGGGAGAGAGAGAAGGAAACATCAATGTGTTGTTCTACTTGTTGATGAATTCATTGATTGATTCCCGCATATGCCTGACTGTGGGGGAAACTTTGCCTGCAAGTGTCCCCCCCCCACCCCCGTCAGCCACGGATGAAAATAATACTGCCAAGACATGATCTGTTTGGGGAGGAAAAGCAGTCAATCTCTCACAGGAGGACCAAGAGCCTTTTGTTCAATGGGCTTTCATTGGGTTCGTTTTGCACAAGAAGACAGGTAAGGATCAAACAATAGATAACATTCAAAGAACTTTGAGGGCTTATTCTCAGTCCAGGTCAGATAGCTAAAGAGCCATAAAACTTTGAGGAACAAACTTCTTGCTTGGACCCTTATCATTTAAATGAGCACTCTAAATAAAGCAGGTTTCACAGGATTCTACATATTCTTTCTTAGACCTGATCACTCAAGGAAACCGCCCTTTCAAGCACAAGGCTGTACAGCCTTCCCAGTCATAGGTTTTTAGACTTAAGTGGATTAGAGCCAGGAATCGCTTCTCCCAGATGGAAATGGGGACTCAGGCTATGTCAGAATAGCCGGGGGGCGAGGGTCCATCACCCCCTCTTTGCTGAAGTCCCCCAAGTCCTTTCTTGAGGGCCTCCCAAGTGATCGTGTCTGGTTTAGGTTGCCCCTCCTCTGAGGGGTTGTACCCGTCATTGACTAACCTACCAAGCGTTGGGGACAGAGATGGATGAAGCAGAAGCAGCGCTGCTGCCAGGGAGATAAGCTTTGTCTCCTTAGTGGTTCACAGTCCGGAGATCACTCACTCAGCCTTATCCACAGGGGGCAGTTACAACTCCTAAAACCAGGAAGAGTGGTTCCCCAACACCTGACCAGGGCTCAAACCTGCAACCTTGGTGTATCAGGGCAATGCTCTAAACAACTGACCTACCTGAGCAGGACTGTTATTTCTTAATTTGCATAATTTAGACATTTTATAAGTGACCTCCTATGATACATAAAGATTTAACACATTTCTAGAACCCCTGTTTCCCTTCCTTCTTAGTTTCCTAAAATATATATTACTATTTTTAGTTTTAAAGTTGGTTATTGTTATATTTTCAAGTAATATGGTTATACCTGTTTCTTCTTCCATTGAGTTTAGATGGTGTCTCCCGGTTTCCATCTGGGAGAAGCGCTTCCTGGCTCTAATCCACTTAAGCCTAAAAACCTACAACTGGGAAGGCTGTACAGCCTTGTGCTGGAAAGGGCAGTTTCCTTGAGTGATCAGGTCTAAGAAAGAATATGTAGAATCCTGTGAAACCTGCTTTTTAAAATTTTTATTGAATTATTGGGGAAACATTAGTTAATATAATTATATAGGTTTCAGGTGTACAGCGCTACATCATCTGTATATTATACTGTGTGTTCACCACCCCTGGTCAGGTAGCTCAGTTCTTGGGTTGCAAGTTCAATCCAAGTTCAATCCAAGTTCAGTCCCTGGTCATGGCTCATAAGGGAGATGACCTGTTGATGTCTCTGTCACACATCAATATACCTCTCTCCCATTCCCTCTCTAAAATCAACGAACATATCCTCAGATGAGGATTTTTTTTAAAGTACACACACACACAAAAAGTAGCAAGGAATGCATAAATAAGTGGAATAACAAATTGATGATTTTGTCTCTCTCAAATCAATAAAAATTTTTAAAATTTAAATCTTTTCTCTCATTTGATGGGTTGCCTTTTAATTCAGTTGATAGTGTCTTTTGATGCTTAAAAGTTTTTAATTTTGCCCTGGCTGGTGTGGCTGAGTGGATTGAGTGGTGGCCTGCGAATCAAAGGGATGCCAGTTTGATTACCACTCAGGGAACATGCCTGGGTCGCTGGCCAGGTCCCCGGTAGTGGGCACATGAGAAGCAACCACACATTGATGTCTCCTCTCCTTCTCTTTCTCCCTCCCTTCCCCTCTCTCTAAAAATAAATAAAATCTTTAATTTTGATAAAAACCAATTTATCTTTCTTTTTTTGCCTGTGCTTTTGGTGTCGTATCCAAGAAATCATCGCCAAATTCAGTGTCAAAAAGCTTTTCCCTATATTTCCTTCTAGAAGTTTTACAGTTTTAGCTCTTATGTTCAGGTCTTTGATCTTTTTTTAGTGTTTTTTCGTAAATGGTATAAGGTAAGGGTCCAGTGTTTTTTGTCTTTTGTTTTTGCATGTGGGTATCCAGTTTTCCCAGCCCTATTTATTGAGAAGACTGTCCTTTCCTCTATTGAAGAGCCTTGACACCTTTGTCAAAAATCATTTTAACCACATGTGAAATTTCATTTCTGTGCTCTCCATCTTCCATTGTTCTATATGTCTGTCTTTATGCCCGTACCATATACTATGTTGACTACTGTATGTAGCTTTGTAGTACATTTTGAAATCATGAAATGTGAGACTTCCAACTTTGCTCTTTTTCAAGGTTGTTTTGGCTATTCAGGACCCCTTGAGATTCCATATGAATTTCATTTTTTTAAATTTATTTATTTATTGACTTTTTAAAAAAGAATGGTCTATTTGTGTTCCATATATTTATGCATTCATTGGTTGATTCTTTTATGTGCCCTGACCTGGGTGTATTAGGATGACACTCTAACTTAGCTACCTAGTCAGGTTCTCCATATGAATTTTATTTTTATTTGTTGTTAAAATATCTTATAATTTTGTTTGTCCATTATACTTCAATAAAGCTGAAAAAGTTATATGATTCCAAAGCTTGAATCTTACCCTACCCTGTCATGTGGAAACTGCCCACCACTGGTGGGGGCTTTCAATGTCTCTGGTTATATTTTGCTTGCTTGTTTGTTTTGTTGATTAGGTTCCACTTAAAGGTGAGATCATTCCATACAGACTTTAAAATAAGGTTTTCTATCTCTTAAAAAATCATCATTGGAATTTTGATGGAGATTGTATTGAATCTGTAGATTACTTTGTGTCATACTGTCATCTAACAATATTAAGTCTCCAGTCCACAAATATGGGATATCTCTCCATTTATTTGTGCCTTAATTCTTTCAGTGACATTTTGAAGTTTCTGGTGTACAAATCTTTTTTTTAATTATTTATTTATTTTTATTGATGATGCCATTACAGTTGTTCTATTCCCCCCTTCATTCCCCTCCATCCTACCCCCCCATCCCCACCATTACCGCCATTTAGTTTATGACCATGTGTCTCAAGTTCTTTAGATTCTGTATTTCCCCTACTATTCTTGCCCCCCCATTTATTTTCTATCTACTGTCTATGCTACTTATTTTCTGTACCTTCTCCCCCCTTCTCCTCCTCCCACTCCCCTGTTGCTAACCCTCCTTGAGATCTTCATTTCTATGTTTCCACTCCTGATCTAGCTGTCCTCTTAGTTTGCTTTTGTTTTAGGTGTGGTTGTTAATAACTGTGAGTTTGCTGTCCTTTCACTGTTCATCTTTTTTTAACTTCTTTTTCTTAGATAAGTCCCTTTAACATTTCATATAATAAGGGCTTGGTGATGATGAACTCCTTGAATTTGATCTTATCTGAGAAGCACTTTATCTGCCCTTCCATTCTAAATGAAACTTTTGCTGGATAGAGCAATCTTGGTTGTAGGTCTTTAGATTTCATGAGTTGGAATACCTCTTTCCAGCCCCTTCTTGCCTGTAAGGTCTCTTTTGAGAAATCAGCTGACAGTCTGATGGGAACTCCTTTGTAGGTGACTGTCCCCTTAGCTCTTGCTGCTTCTAGGATTCTCTCCTTCATTTTAATTTTGGCTAATGTAATGATGATGTGCCTTGGTGTGTTTCTTCTTGGGTCCACCTTCTTTGGGACTCTCTGAGCTTCTTGGATTTCCTGGAAGTCTATTTCCTTTGCCAGATTGGGGAAATTCTCCTTTATTATTTGTTCAAATAAGTTTTCCACTGGTGGCTGTGCCTTTCCCCCTTCTGGTACCCCTATAATTCGGATGTTGGAGCGTTTAAAGATGTCCTGGAGGTTCCTAAGACTCTCCCCATTTTTTTGAATTGCTTCTTCACTCTTTTTTGTTTGACCAGTATTTGCTTTCTTCTGGTCCACTCCATTGATTTGAGACCCATTTTCCTTTTCATCGCTGTTGATTTCCTGTATAATTCCATTCATTTCAATTAGTTTCACCTTCATATGTATATCTAATTTGTGGCTACTATCAACCAGTTCTGTGAGGATCCTGATCACCAGTGTTTTAAACTGTGCATCTGAGAGTTGTGCTATTTCTTTATCGCTTAGATTTATAGGCTCTGGGGCTTTGAGATCTTCTTGAGCCATTTTTGTTCTGTTCACGCCCGTTAAGTACAAGGAGGGGAGCCTTGGACTCCCAGGTTGCTGGGTTGTGACACTGTATGTGGGGGCGTGGTCAGAGCAGGGAAATGGCAGCCCCGTCTGCTGTTTCTCGGAGCTGGGTGAGGAGCAGAGCCTCAGGTGGTTCACCGGATCAGGGCCACTTGGGTCGCTGGGTTATGACGCTGTATGTGGAGGTGGGGTCAGAGTGGGGAAATGGCAGTGCCCTCTGCTGCTGTTGGCCACTGGGGCCTGCTGGGTCCCGTCCAATCGCCCACTCCCTCGCTTGTCTATCCACACATGGATGCGAGACCACAGTCAACCCGCAGCCCTGCTCCCTCGCTGTTTCCCCACGGTCGCTAGCTGAGTTGCCCACCAGGTCCAACCCTGCACCTGGATTCCGCGCACCTGAGTCTGTCTGACGGAGTTTTCCTGTGCAATCCCACTCCTCCAGCTGCTGGTTTCGCCCCTCTTACCGGTCAGGCTGAAGAATCTGTTGTTATCAGACTTCCGAAAAGTTGTTATAAGACTGTGTTTTCTGTTGCTAATATTTAGTTGTCTCTAAACTTGGTTGTGAGAGGAAGCACGGTATCTCCACTTATGCCTCCATCTTGGCGGAAGTCTCTGGTGTACAAATGTTTTGCCTTCTTGGTTTAGCTTACTTCTATGTTTTTTATTCTTTTATATGCTAATGTAAATGGAATTGTTTTATTAATTTCCTTTTGAATTGTTTATTATTAATGTGTAGAAATAAAACTGATTTTTGCATGTTAATTTTATATCTTGCAACTTTGCTGAGTATGTTTATTAGTTCTAACTTCTTATTGAAATCTTTAGGCTTTTCTACATATAAGATCATGTTGTTTGCAAACAGAGATAATTTTACTTCTTTTTTCAAATCTGGTCTCCTTTTATTTCTTTTTTTTAAAAATATTTTATTATTTATTTATCTTTAGAGGGGAAGGGGGGGAAGGAGAGAGGGAGAGAAACATCAATGTATGGTTGCCTTTTGTGCGTCCCCTGCTGGGAACTGGCCTGCAGGGAACCGGCCTGCAACCCAGGCATGTGCCCTGACTGGGAATCGAACCGCGATCGTGTGGTTCGCAGGCCCGTGCTCAATCCACTGAGCTACACCAGCCAGGGCTCTCCTTTTATTTCTTTTTCTTGCACACTGGCTCTGGCTAACTTCCAGTATTATGGTGAAGAGATAAAATGAAAGTAAGCATTCTTAATTTGTTCCTAATTTTATTTATTTTTAAAAATATTTTATTTATTTTCAGAGAGAGGGGATGAGAAGGAGGAAGAGAAAGAGAAACATCAGTTGGTATCCACCAAGCCACACCAGCCAGAGCACTTTGTTCCTAATTTTAGAGGAAAGTTTTCAGTCTTTCACTATTAAGATTCTAGCTGTGAGTTTTTCATACATGGACTTTATTATTTGGAGGCAGTTACTTCTATTCCTAGTTTGCTGAGTGTTTTTATCATGAGAAAGTGTTAAATTTTGTCAAATGCTTTCTCTATATCAATTGAGATGATGATGTGGTTTTTTTCCCCTTCATTCTCTTACTGTGATTGGTCAATTAATTTTCATGTGTTGAATCTTCCTTGTATTCCAGGAATAAATCTCACTTGTTTGTGGTATATAATCCTTTTAATATGCATTGGGACCTACATCCAAGATTGCTCTATCCAGCAAAGTTCTCATATAGAATGGAAGGGCAGATAAAGTGCTCCTCAGATAAGGTCAAATTCAAAGAGTTCATCATCACCAAGCCCTATTACATGAAATGTTAAAGGGATTTATCTAAGAAAGAGAAGATAAAAAATATGACTGTGAAAGGACAGCAAACTCACACCTAAAACAAAAGCAAACTAAGCAGACAGCTAGATCAGGAGCAGAGCCAAAGAAATGGAGATCACATGGAGGGTTAGCAACAGGGGAGTGGGAGGAGGAGAAGGGGGGAGAAGGTACAGAGAATAAGTAGCATAGATAGTAGGTAGAAAATAGACAGGGGAAGGGCAAGAATAGTATGGGAAATGTAGAAGCTAAAGAACTTGTGACGCATGGACATGAACTAAAGGGGGAGAATGTGGGGGGAGGGGGTCTGTAGGGGGGAGGGGAATGAAGGGGGGAATGGGACAACTGTAATGGCATAATCAATAAAATATATTTTTAAAAATATGCATCGGACCCCAGCCAAAGGTGCCTAGAGGAGATGGCTAAATAAAGAGCACACTGGCTGTTGGAAAACTACCCAGCTGTAGAAAGGGATGAGGAATCAGTATGGGTACTTGGGTTAGTTTTCTACGCTACACATTACCACAAATGTCGCAGCTAAAACAGCAGGCAGGCTCCTGGCATAGCATTCTGGGTTCTCTGCTCAGAAGCCATCACATTGGAGGTCCTGGTTGGTGGCAGAATTCAGTTCCTGGAGGTGAGAGCCAAGGTCATTTGTGTTCTTTTTTGTGGCTCCCTCAAGGCCTGCAGGGGGCCTCTGCCTTCCATTAGGTACATTACCAAATCAGGATTGGTCTCTCCCCCTCTTCACATTTCTGCCCATATTCAAGGGGCAATCTCAGACCATCCTTTAGTCCTGCTACCCCAGTGCTGGGGGATGCCCAGTGCACAAAGGACCTCATACTGGCAGTGCTGTCACACATGCAGGCAGAGCTGGGGAAAACCCCCACCCCCTTGCAGGAACCAAGAGTGAGTTTGTTCTTGTACCCCAGCTACAAGGTCTTGGTCACAACCCACAGGTTTCATTTGCTTAGGGACCCAGCATGAATATGAGGATTGGGGCTGTTCACCACCACCCACCCTCCAGGCCTCCAGCTCTGCCTTCAGGAGCATTCTTCAGCCCTGCTCCTTCCTGGTGGTTTGAGAGCAGCTACCCAATCCACATCACTTCCTGTCTCACCTAAAGGAAACTGCACCAGTCCTGGTTCACATAAAAATCTGTGAAACAGCCACCAAGAGCATTCCCAGACTGTAGGGAATAGTAGCCCTTCAGCCCTCAGGTCAGAGATTTTAGTGGATCTGATTTGGGGTATCAAGCTGGGGCCCTAGCACCTTTCAAAGCTCCTCTAAACACAGGATCAGACCTATTTCCTGGTGGAAGGACTTATCCTGCTTACTAAATAGGATATAAAGCAGGTGTGTCACTCTCATTTTCACCTCACAGTTGCTTTTGAAGGGCTGACTGTAATTTTAGGACTGTACAAATGTAACTACTCCTTAGCCAGGGGCAAGGAGCTTGGCGCTGCTACAGGGTAGAAACAAGGTGCTGGGCCAGATAAAACAAGGTGGAGGGCCGGACTTGGCCAGCGGGCCCTGTGTTTGCCACCGGTGATATAAAGGGAGGGAAAGAGCCCAGAGAAGCAGCTTTTTCAGCATGATACTGTAATGCTGCCACCACTCCTGGGCCTGGCCAGATTACACATTAGTGTACACAATGGGCCATGTAACAGGGTCCTAAAGCATGGGTTCCACACCCAAGTCCTTTCTTGAGCACATGTACTTGTTCATTGGCACTGCACTCACTAGGCCTTAAGACCCTGCATTCTGGTAGGAACTAGCTGGTGGCACAACTCTGCAAGGGGGACAGGTATGCACAGGTGACTGAAGGTGGAAGCCATACCAAAGGGGAGGCAGGTGTTTCTCCCCCTCACCCACCACGGTGTAACTTAGTGCCTGTGCAGTGGGGGGGTGCTGCCCTGCACACCCACCTGAAGGCCCGTGCTTCCAGCCTGTGAAGACCACAGGCAGGGCTCTGGCCAAAGGGCAGAGCCACTGGTAAGTTATTCTAACTGCTCACCAGGCCCCCAAGTACGAAGCAAATGGTACAGGTGCCACCAGGCCATCCCTTTCAGATAGACTGTCAGGGACACTGCTTTATGCTCAAACTCCCACACCTCCACCTCAGCCGACCTTCATGTAGGATATTATTTCCACAGAAATAGGCACCTTACTTTTAGATATTAAAACCTTTCAACAGTCCCCCAAATTATCCTGCAGCTGTCAAGTACGGGAATGCACATCAGCTATGATTTATAAAGACCTGCACCTGGAAGATCCAGGCAAGAAAACATATTAAGGACACAATTGTCTCCAGGTCCTGCTGTGACCAGAGACAATGGGGCAACTAACTTGTAGAAAAACCAGACTGATTTCAAAAAAATCTGGGCACCACAACTGCTATCAGGTAAACAGGCAATGCAGTGTTTGCCCACAAGGGGACCACTTAGCTAGATTCCATCCAGCCTCCCTCTGGGACAGGTAGTATACCTTAGCTACCTCTTCAGCGCCAAGCAGTCTCTCGACAGCAAGGATGACCTGCTGCACCAGAGCATGCAAGCCCTACAAGTCTGCTGCTGCTACTTGGTATAGCAAGGGTACAGACAAGCCCAGGAAGAATCAAAGAAAGGCTGAGGTGCTAAATAACTAGGAACTAAGCTGATTTAAAAAAAAGGTAGCTCAACCTAAAATTGGGTTTTGTAATCTTGCCACAGAAAACTATTCAATTATTCAGTCTCTAACCAAGCAGTAGCGGTAAAAAACAAAAAGTAGGATGAAATTCAGTCTCTGGGCTGCTTTGTAAGAACACCCTCAACTCCTGCCCAGCCCCCAGGATCCTCTCAGGAAAAACAAACCCCACACCCATTTTTTACATACAAAAATGCTACACGGAGACTAGATTTATCAGAAGTTGCCAACAGCACTTTATTTTTTCTTTTCGACATCCTGTTCTGCAGCTTCCTTGGCTCTTTTTGCTCGGATACCAAAGAGCCGAGCATTGGCACGGGCCATGCGAAGACTGGCAAAGGCCTTGAAGTTCTTCTCCTCCTCTGTGATGACCCTGGCTTTCTCCTTCTTATAGACCTGGAAGGAGCACAAGGGGTCAAGCTCTTGCCTGCAGTGAGGCCTGTGACAAGGCCCAGGGCCCAAATGTCAGCAGAGTCTGGAATGGCTTTGGGGAGTTCAAGTAATGCTGAAAGGCTAAACAGAGGCTGCCAAAGAAGAAACATCCTCTGAATTAGACATGAAAGATGGGTGGGGGTGCTGTGCTTGGACAAACACATGGCAGGACCTAACAAAGGAAGGGCGGACCCCCTGGGCCCACCCCCCCCCTCAGAGAAACCTCAAGGGCCCAGTTACTTGATGCCCTGAGCTTTCCAAACAGCAAGGAGGGAAAATCAACCCAATAGAAGGAGGCTGAATTATGTGGGTCCCCCAAACTTTCTCAAAAGCGAGAATAAGATCCTCCCTCAAGGAGTCCATCTACTGAGAATGCAGGATGTTCTCACTGCCCCTCATGCCCGCAAGCCAGTCCCCACTCCAAAAATATTCACTTAGCCATCATCTCAACACCCCCACTTACATTCCGTATGGGCATGACTGGTCCTGTCAGTTGGGTAGCCAATTTGAGGTCTTTTTCCTGTTTAATGAGAAGGGAGAGTCAAGTGGGCTCAGTTCATTTCCCTAAGGGCTCCAAGCTTATAATCCTCTAAGCCAACCCCACACCTCTCACTGGATCACCACGTGCCAAATAATGGCATGTCACAGAACTTCTATCTAGCTCATAAACACACGCAGAGGAGCATCTATGTCTGAACCAGAGATGCGGATAGAACAAAATGTCAACTGCAAAATAAAGCCAACCTCCCCCAACCCAACTTCCAGGAAGCCCACATGGACAGACACTGTCAACTCTGTTCTAAAATGTTTTTCTAGAAAAAACTTGTGTTGTACATAAAGCATTTTAGAGAGCAAAACACTGCCAATGTAAAAAACCTGCCTCCAAGTCAAAAAGTTTTCGCCATTACCACAAAACCCAAAAACATCATCTTGAGTACAAAAGTGAATCTTGGCAGTTCTGACAGACTAACTTGGGAATTCTTAGGTTCTTTCTTCTCATTAACGATTCTCTACTACCCATATGTGAAGGCCAAGTTTTGAAAAATAAGATGGCTACAGGCAAATGTTTTTCTTTTCGCTCTCACTGGACCCAGAGACAGACGCCACTTACACTTAAACCAAGTGTCCCCACACCCGTTCCCACCCCCCGGGAACCCGCTGTGCTCTACTCACAGAGCTGTCTCCCTTCTTGGGGGCCGAAGGCTTCCTGGGGAAGAGGATGAGTTTGGACCGGTATTCTTTGAGTCGCTGCACGTTGGCCTGCAGGGACTCGGTGGACTTGTTCCGCCTTCTTGGATCCACCGAAATGCCAATGGTCCGGGCCACCTTTTTGTGGATGCCCGCCGCCTGCCGGTGGAGAAAGACACAATGAAATCCCAAGGAGCCTCCAATTTCTAAAGCCTAATGAAAGCACTCAGTCGTCAGATGGAAAAGGGTTCAAGTGTACTTTCATCAAGGCAGTACAGCGATTCCGGAGAATGTCATCATTTGACTGAGCCCAGGAGGCCTTTGGCACTGGGGTTTTGCGGATACTCACCTTTAACTCCTCCAAGCTGAAGCCCCTGCCGGCTCGCACTTTGGTGTGGTACCTCACCGTGGGGCATCTCACTATGGGCCGGATAGGTCCGGACGCAGGCCGCGGGGCGATACGGCGTGCTTTGGCTTGCCGGGCCTTGCGTCTAAGCAGACAGAAGCCAGGCAGCAGTTACCTTAGGGTGCCTAAGGCCGATCTCCCTCCCATTTCGGGGTGTCCTCCTGTACCACAGCGGGGAATCGGAGAGTGCAGACAACGTCGCCACCCGCTCGCCCCCAACCACACCATTACAACCTTGGCTCTAATGAGTAACTACAAGGGCCTACGGTTATCATATGGTTAAAGGGCTCGAGCACAGAGTACAGAGATTCCGATCACTAGTCACCTGTGTGCTCCACACACCCCCTCACCTGCGGATCTTCCGCGCCGGCTGGTTAAACCACGTGGCAACGCGCCGCTGCCAGTCCTTGTGGAAGTGGGGCTT